AAACATGTTAATTTCTGCTGTAAAAACAGACTTTTTAGAATGGGTGTGTATGTGACTTCCTGTTCTTCTGCAGCCAGCCTCTAGTGGACCCTCGATGAACTGCATGATTTTTCACTTCAGCATCGGCTTCATTTATCAGTACCAGAGGTTGCTGCTTGGTCTGAACCCTGACGTACAGAGCAACATGCTGCTGTATCCCAAATACAAAGCACACAGTGACGCTGTCTGCACTTTTCCTGTTCAACTGAAAAGAAAGACCCAAAATCTTCATGGTAGTGCACTGCTTAAAATGCTAATTCTTCTCACTATTGTCTTGAATATGCCATTAAAAATACACATTAATATATGTTTGCACTGACTCCTTCCTTCCACACAACCCTACAAGCAGAGAGAAACTGAGATATCTCTGCTTGCCAGAAGAAAACAGATCCCTGTCTGGCAGTTTCAACTCATGACTGATAACACTAAACTGCTGTGACTGTAATTGGTCCGCACATAAAGAAGACTTACTTATCTGTCTTGTACTTTTAGAGGATGCTGACTCGCTGCAGAGAGAAGCCCACATTCCCTGCATTTACTCCCTCCATTACCGAATCATCTGTCATTGCTGAGTACGACCCGAGTGTTTGTGTGGAACCAGAACAATCATATCTTTTAGAGGCCATGCAGCGCTGAACAAATGTCTCTGTTTCTCCCTGAAGCAGCGTCTCCACCTCCCCTCCTGTAGCTGTCTTGGCACGTCATCCTCTCTGTGGGGTGTAATTGTAACTCCCTGCCTCTTCAAACTCCCACTACATGCTAAAATTTCACCATGGTGATGAGAAAATTACAATTCTTTTGCATGAAGTGGCAATTCCCCCGTCTGTGATTGCCTTTGTGCAAACGGACCACATGCACGGGGAGGTATACATGTGTCAGGACGATACAGGGGGATGTTATGGGATTTTTGTCGAGACCAGCAATTAGATTCAGCTCCAGCACTGGACCGAAGAGGACCTCACTGTGCACGACTTAAGTGCCACATTGGATAATTATAAAGAGAAAGTATTTCTGCAGCTGAAAGTGAGAGATACACAAACTGAACAAAACTATCATTGCAACATTAAGTGTTAAGGGGCTTCATATTTACAAGAGCAAACCTTTCCTCTTTTCTGGTGCACACTTCTCCAGGACATACATTTATTTTTGACATACCATGCAACCAATACAGAATCCCAGAAAAACACCGGACTGACGTTTTTGACGCCCACTGCGTCTTCCTCAGAGTCAAACCAATAACCAATAAACCACAACTTTTCCTTTCTACACATCAAACAAAAGGATTGGTCTGAGGCTGGCTACACACAAGACGATTAGGTGGAAAACTCCCTGTTTCACACGATCAAATAAATGAGCAGAGTGAGCTGGTCGATGTTGTGTAACCTGCCCTAAGATGACAGATCAGAAGGATGATGAAGACTACTAATAAAGGTTAAATAAGCAATAAATGAATTATCACAATTCTGAGCTGATCATCCAAAACATGGGCTTCCCTTGAATGAAGATGCTCACTGTATCACAACTCTGAACGCACAGACGCATGGTTTAAAGGTTTTTATTCTCTCAGTCTGAAGCACACTCAGCAGCATCAGGTCGGGGGCTTTGCTCTGTCAGGTTTGCAGAGCTTTCTCAGTCGTCTGCACAACAACAACAACAACAACAACAACAGCAGCAGCAGCAGCTACAGGAGGCTCCGACTCACCATCAGCTCTGCTTTCAATCACAAAGCAGGCGAGTATTAGTCACAAGTTTATAATCTTTCTTCAGCTGCAGCAGCAATCCCCGAGAAGACAGAGAGGAGGCTGAGAGCATTAAAAAAGGCCGACACTCACAGCTCACATACTCCAACAATATGAAGAGAAATTCTATCAAACAAACACCTTTTTTTAGACTCACCCTTATGGCTCAAACACCAAAAACATTCACAGGATTAGAGATGAAGAGAAAACACATTAAGTTCCCATAAGACGGAGTATCTGATTCCCCTCCATGTGCGGTCAAATCACATTACCATCTCAGGAATACTCAACCTCTCAAGTCTGCAGCAGCATCAACAGTGGCCGATGTATTGATTTGCTGTGAAGGGTTTTTAAATTGCTATAAACAATAATGGACATCCGATGGATGAGCTGTGGAGCTAACTGCAAGTGGTTGTAAAGATTTGATTTGCAGCTCAATGACTAAGCAGTCCAGTTCATATGTAGATTATGTGTATATTATTTCTTTGTAATTCCAGGATGATTGTCTCTGCCAGAGTTTACCGGTAAACCATCAGTTCAGTTGAACAGGAAAAGTGCAGATCTTCTGACGTGTCTGGTACAGAAAAAGGCTTTTAACGCCTCCATGCTGCGGTTGATTAGCTGTCAGGTTGAACATTTTCTGCTGGACTCTTCTTCTCACTTCTCGTGTGTGCTGACTTACCGACAAACTAAAATGGACACACATAAAGTGTGTGTGTGGGGGGGGGGGGGGGGAGGAAAAGCAGAAAGAAGACAGCAGATGAGACCTTTAAGCGTACTCGTCGCTGTGAACCAAACCAGCTGTTTTACAGGCGGCATCGCCATTGGAGCTGCTCAGTGAGGGACGAGAGATGTGGTTGTCGGTGGCAACCGAAGTAGCAGAGAGAAGGTGGATGGAGAGGGGATGGACTCGGACAGCGCGAGGGGTCGGGCGTACACACGCATGTGCACGTACACACATACACAACACAACACACAGATAACACACACAGTCCAGAGCTGAGCAAACAAACCAGTGGAACAACACTCAGTGAGTCAATGCCTGCATGATCCATTAGCAACTCTTAGCACACACACACACACACACACACACACACACACACACACACAGTGGGAAAGAGAAAAACCACTGACCCACGCAGCAACAACTCAGAAACCTCTGTGAGCACGATGTCAACACGCTAAGCACAAAGATACAATTACAGAAAAGTGCTTCAAAGCATCGTGATAGCGGCATGAGCTAATTGCAGGTTGTCATGTTGTCCACCATGTACGATAGTTCTGCACAACAGATTACATCCGTAGCACGGGCTCTAAGTCTGGCCTGCAGGTGCAATAAGCACCCCTGTACATCACGACTCATATCAACCCCCGACGTTCACCCACGTTTGAAACTTCTGCTGAAACTTCAGAAGCAACAGGGGAATAAAAAAAAAACAAAAAAAAAAACAACTCCAGTGAGGGAAAATGAAATCACCACAAAGAGGGCTTCAGGAAATTAAGACAGACAGCCGACGAGGGGCGTGCTTTGAGATTAAATCATGTAATCACATGGCGCAGGTGGCGCAGTGGTTAGTGCGCGCGCTCCATGTATGGAGGCCTTGCTCCTCCAAGCGGGCGGCCCAGGCTCGAATCCCACCTGTGGCTCCTTTCCCGCATGTCAGTCCCTACTCTCGCTCCCTGATTTCTGACTCACTGTCCTATCTCTCCATTAAAGGCACAAAAAGCCCCAAAACATCTTTAAAAAAATATATTAAAAAATCATCTAATCCGTACTTTGAACATCTATTTTGTATCAAATTTAAGCATTTCAAACCTCACTGTTTAAGCTCAAAGTAACAGTATTTGCTTGTTTCACTCGACTGAAAACATTTGAGTTGTTTTAATGTTAAGAGGAGAAAATAAGCTCGACCAGTTCACCAACAGCTTTCAGCAACTTCTGATCTCAACTTGACGTTTACGTTTTAAAACATGTTGTGTTGAAAATGAAACGTTCTGATTCATCAAAAAGTGCATCAGACGTGTGTTTCAGTGACGCCACATGTCCTCCACTTTGTCGTTTTAGCTTTTCTAGTGTGAGCGCTCACACGTCTCTACACTGAATACTTTGGTGTTTTTGTTTGTTTGTTTGTTTTTTTTTTTTTTTTTGGGGGGGGGCTTTTTGCCTTTATTGGATAGGACAGCTGAAGAGAGACAGCAAATATTAGGAGGAGAGAGAGAGCGGGGGGGGGGGGTTGCATGCAGAGGTCCGGGGTCGGATTCGAACCCACAGCTGCCGCAACGAGGACTATAACCTCTGTGAGGCGTCAGCGCTCCAGCTTTGTTGTTTTTTATTCCTACAATTTCAGAAATAAATATAAACTGAGTTATATCCTATCATCACATGCTTTATAAAGCACTAACTACACTCACTCATGTGGGACATTTGCATAAAAAAAAGAAGATTTGGCCAGACATTCCTGGACCCCACATTGCTAAAAATACATCCCCGTGCTGAATAATGTAAGTGGAGCGTGGAGTGGAGCAGTCAATAATTAAGTGGATGCATTGGCGTGAGAGGAGGACGCCGCTCGTTTACAGAGTAATGGATAAGTGGGCCAAGAAAGCTAAGGTGTCACAGGTAAGAATCAGCTCAGCATCCTGTTACGTAGTCAGACGTAGACGGGGTCGGATGCAGGGGTGCAGGGGATCGTTCACTTTACACTGTATTCATCAAACATGAGATATTACTTCAGCTGCCTCACTTCACTGGTAGGTTACATAAAAAGATGAGGAAAGTGTGTTCTGTGCCCATTCTCAAGACTAACTTCTTCTGAAATGAAAAGTACTATACTGCGCACTGCAGGATTACAGAGACAGATGCATCAGCTGTTAGTAACTTCACAAGGCCCCTGAGCTGTGAAAGGAAGCACAGAACTTCTACTTTCACTCAAGGTGTAGGATGCTACTTTGTTTAAACACATTGCACAAGACTTGATAAAGTCTTGTGCGGTTGTGTGGTGTGAAGAAAAGCCTACAAAAGCCCTACATAAGTATTTTCCTGTAACAGCATGACATGGAAGTACAGTGAATGCCAACAAGACTTTGAAGCAACAGTGCTTCCTTTGGCTACAAGCAACAAGCTCCAACAACACATGCCTTCTCCTGAGTGGCTCAGTCAACAGGCAGCTCGGATTGTACAACATCAACACAACACATTAAGTCAGAGACACAGCTTCTTACCTTGCTCCTGATCTGTCCAGAGGTGGACACTTTGCGGATGAGTTTCTGGGGGCCTTCTTGCTCCGCGTCGCTGTCAGAGGACTCGTCCGCAGCCCCAGAGCCGGCGACAGCCCCCACCACATGGGCATGGATTCCTGCCGCGGACGCCGGCCCTTTTTCCGGCTCCTGTCGAGGGGAAGGAGAAAAGCAGTCGGGGTTAGCGCTGGCTCGGTCCTCCGCTCCCGGCGGCTTCCTGAGCGGCTGTGTAGCGTCTCTCCTCGCTGTCATCTCTCTCACTACCTCCCGAATAAAGACGACTGTTTGCTCGAGTGTGTGTGTGTGTGTGTGTGTGTGTGTGTTTGCGTGTGTGTGGGCTGGGGGGAACGCACAGGGGATGGGCTCCACATACGGTGTCGGCTACAACAACCCCCCACCCCCTTTTCCCAGTGCCTCCCTGGCTGCTGGTTGTGGCTGCAGGCTGCACAGCCAGTCCACAGACCACCTCATCACCCCGAGAACCAGGGTACATGTCCGCGGCATCGTGCAGACCCTAGCGACTGCATCCGGGCAGTGCCACGGAAATACAAGAAGTGTGACCCAACTACTTTTTGAATACAGCCTCATTTCTCCTTCAAGGCGACGATAACACTCAAAATTGTGTTCTAAGTGCGTTTACAAGTAGCCTAAATAATATCACTTTTGAGTCTTCATAAAATGCACTCAGGAGAGTGATAATGATATAGCCTATCTCCTTTAATCAAGTTAAACCCACTTTAATCTAATGCATAAAGGAGATTGCATTACCCCATCATACTCTTGTTATTTATGGTGATAAATGTGGATGCACAAGAATAAACTGCTGCCTCCAGAGAAAGAACAATCATTGGAGTTTTTGTTTTCCACCCAAAACAATATACAGCCCTTTTTTTTCCTTCCTTTTACTAGATTAAACTTTGTACGTGAATTTAGAAATGAAATACTAAAAAAAAATCCTGCAGGAACGTTTTCAAATAATCTCCAGTGAATTGAGCAACACGACATGCAGGAATAGGATTGAAGGAAATGGGCAGGTATCCTTAAACATATAAAGAGGAGTCCCCCCCTCCCCTCTTTTACGCTTTCTTTTTTTTTTTTTAGAATAAACGCAACTAATAAGTCCAGAGCACCTCAGGAATCGGAACATATCGATAAAGATCGTTACAGACTTCTCATCATTGCCCTTTTCGCAAATAGCAGCACTGAGGCTATAACGAAAAGTAGACCCTTCAATGAAATTCAAACGGGTTTCGGAACAGCACTCAAATCACAGCACATTTAGAGTAAAACGTCAAATACGAACACAGGCTGGTGAACCCCCCCAAAGTGTGAAAACAGCGTCAGCAAAACCTCTTAAATACACCTCAAGTGCATTTCAGTAAAGAGCTCAAATTGTGCTTTTTTTTTTCCTTCGGGGAAAAAAAGAAGTGATTTAAAAAGTCTTCATTGTTGAGTTGTAGGCTACTAACCAGTTCCTCCCAGACAGGGCTCCTGCTGTACGGGTACACATCCTCCATGGTCGGCGGAGAGCCTCTCAGTGCGCTCCGGGGAGAGAAAGAAACCGAATCAGGGGAAGAAGGAGTCGTGCCTCGCTGCCCTGACTCCGCTCATATGCGTTCTGAGGGGATGGGATTCGCTTCTCCTTCCACCTCCTCCTCCGCTGCTTTCTTCCTGTGCTGCCTGTTCGTCTCTCCTCCGCTGCGCTCGTGCCTTGGAGGGCCGAGCCTATCAGCGCTCCACGTGATAGATGTCAAACCCGCTTAAACGCGCGCGGCACGGTGCCGGAGGGGATCTCAGGCGCGCACAGCTCGGGTATGTGACAGGGAGTGTGTGTAGAGTATATTTATGCGGGTGCACGTGAGTAGATTTATGTATGTGTGAGCGTTTCAATGACGTCATTGGTTCGGGTAGGCTACTTACTCTGCTAATCTAATTAATGATAAGGCCTGTAGAGCTCTCCAATAGTCCACATTCTTCATATTATTGGATCTATGATCCTTTTACTCTTCACTGAACACTTTCTTGGATCTCAGAAGGCAATGTAGGTTTATTTATAGAGCACAACTCATACAAAGAGAGACTCAAAGTGCTTTACACAGTTAAAAACAGAGCATTGCAAACACACTCAAGCAAGAATAAGACATTCAAATTATAATATTTTAACATAGTCTATGAGCCCCGAAAACGTTGATTTGATCAACTGTAAAGGCACATGTTTTAATGGCAAAATATTTATTGACTGTTTCTTTTTTTCTTATTTTCTTCTTCTTTTTTTTTTTTGCAAACCAACATTTGTCACACATTTGTGCTATAGGCCTGCATGGTCCAAGCCATTGGTTCCCAACCTGGGGTCTGGGCCCCACTAGATGGTCACCTCAGTTGAGCTGTGAGGCTCTGTCTGCTCTGAGGTTGTTAAAATTAGATATGCACATATTAAATAAATGAAAACATGTGAAAACATAGGCTACTGGGAAATGTATACAAAGGTATTTTGGTAAGAACAAGGGTGTAGGTATATTCTTATAGTATTTTATCAATCAAAAATACTTTATTTATGTTAATTAAAAGAAATGTATGTTATAATTTACAAAAAAAGACAATTTAAACTAGGTAATGTCAATCTAAAATATAAATACTAAAACTAGTCTAGCATCCCAGGGCTTGAAGCCATTTATTCAAAAATAACAAAAAAAAAAGCTAAATCGATAAAGAATCAAGGCTTATTATTAAACAATATTTATCCAACTATTCTATCCAACCTAGGGTTGCAAATAAATTAAACAACGCTCAATCATTCTGTCGGAACGAAACACTCAACAAAACGTGAAACAACTACGGAAGACTTTAACCGCGGACCCGTTTGTCCCTCTTTTATTATCTTCCGCTCCAGGCAAGATGAGCTGACAGATGTTATGAAATGGGAATAAGGCCACACAGCTCAGCACGTTTCTTACTGTGATGCCGGTGGACTTTATTCTACATTATGTTTTTGGACGGAAGTAGTTTTTAGTTTAGTTTAATAAATATGCACCCACAGATTTTATGTAGCGGCCCAGCAGCGGCCGTTGCTGCCCGGAGAGTGCGGAACATTCTGGGCGCCGTCCTGGGGAGAGACGGCTGGATGTGGAGAACACATGAGGTCAAACTACTCAACACATCTTCAGGTAAACTAATCATACATCACCTTATGATTCTTATAGTTACTCCTAATCTCTGAAAACAACAACAACAACAAAACGTAACATTTGTGTAGTTGACTGATAAGTTATTAGCCAGCTCGACTTAATGACAGCGGTTGCTAGGTTACAGCTGCTGCAGATTATTACAGCATGATTATTAGTTACTCACCAGCTAATTCGACCCAACTAGATGATAAGAGTCTGAATAATTTACAATTAACCGTGTTTAAGTCACTTTCTAGGAATATTGAAGAAACTAGGTGAAAGGTTAAAGTCATCCAGGTAATCCTCAGTGAACACGGGACAGTGAAGGACAAACAATTTGGTATTTTCTGTTAAACAATTGAAACTAAGAGGATGTCCAAAACAGTAGGATTTAACTTTCTTAACTTTAGGTGGAAAAAAAAGTAATCCCAGTTTGAACCATTGGAGGAGTGAGTTAAAACTCTTAAATTAGTTAAGCTTGTAATGCTTAGTTAAATCCTGGTTGTATATATTCACATTCATTCTTATTTTTGATATTTTTTAGTACTTATTGACTTTGTATTTAATATTATATTGTGTTTAGATTGCTAACATTGTGTTTTTTACTCACATTGTGTGTAATTAAAAAGTAATTCTATTCTATTCTAAATTAAAGACAAGAATTATTAGTTGGACATCATTTGAATTTACCCCGTCTTTCAGTTATTTCATCCATGTATTTATAGTGTGACAAACTAACAACATATGTTGCACAACAGACGGTTTTATCACGTTTCCCACTTTTCACGTCTTTGTTGCAGCGAGAAGTTTCACCACTTCATTTCCCCCCCCCCCCCTTATATTTATAATATTGTCATGTTTCATATGTTAAACAAAATTCAATGTTTAATTGTGTCACTAAAATGTGACTTAGGTGGCCAACTTTGTTTGCTTAAGAAACGGTCACAGCTTAACAAAACAAGATATGCCTGCAGGTCGTTTTGACAGGAGACATTTTGACTTTTGAAGAAGCCGGACATGCAAATGAAGCTTCTTTGCTCGCCTGTCAGTGTGGCAGGGTTATTAACATTTCTTTTTTTTTTTTTTCTTTGACTGCTCCTTCTGAGATCTAAGTTTGACAACTAGAACGTGGAAAAACTAAACCAGTAAGACTTAACGACAGAAATCGAGCATTTATCATACAACCTCTCTGACCATTCTTAAAAGTCAACATTCAAAAAACTTTATTGTCTTTCACATAGTGACAGAAAATGACCTTTGGTTAAAGGCTCAAGTGACATAAAATTGTTCACACACTTTAGACTCACATACAATCATACCAAAAGTTTCATAATAAAAGCATGTTATAAAATAAGTGTTTATTAACTTGGGAATTGTTTTATAAAGGTGATATTTATTGATTTAACAAAACAGACAGCAGCTGGACTCTATTTTTTACTCTCACAGCCACCTTCACCTGTGCTATGAACAGGAGCTAATGTATTCCCTGCTTGTAACACTTGTAATGGTTGTGTTGGCCATGTGGTGCTACAGAGTGTGAGTTTAACCCTGTGAGGCCAAAACCATCAACTTATCTGGATTGACAACAATAACAGTCAGTCCTTGACACAAAGCTTCATCCCCATTAAACACTACCCACATGACCTGTTTCATTATTATTATTATCATTACTAACATTGTATTATTGTATCATTATTATTATTGTTTAGCATCAATATATATACTGTACATTCTTTATTATATATATTTATTATATTAGTATATATTATATTACATTTCATTATATTACACTATATTGTTCATATTGCACTATAGTATATTACATTATACTACATTATATTATATAACTGCACTCTGCATTACTGTGGTACAACACTGCCTCTCTTCTCTGCTGTTTACATTACTTGCTGCTATTTATCATACCAAGTCACTTTAATCATCACTTGTCACTTTATCTTGCCATTCCCTGCACATACTGTCTCAATTCCCTGCATAATTAACGTCATCATTCATTTTGTACTTGTATATACCCCCTATTTTTATTTATCTTATCTAATCTATTCTGTTTAATTTGTATTTGGTATGACCTTACTTGAATTTCCCCTCTGGGGATCAACAAAGTACTACTATCCTATCCTATCCTATCTTTAATCTTCATAGAACCTTCCAAAAAAAAAAAGAAAAAGAAATGAGGTAATACATGCATGGGATCTCTGATTCAAAGATATTTCATAAAAACATAGAAAACAACTCTGCAGAGATGCCCCTGAGCAAGTTACAGAACCCCAAACTGCGCTCCCTGGTTAGCGGTGTGTAGCATCCCCACTCTGACATTTCTCCATGAATGCATGTCCACAGGTCCTGTTTGTGCATGTGTGTGATTCAGGCCTATGTGTGTGTGTGTGTGTGTGTGAGAAGCATGTCTCTCAGTATTTCGCTCAGGGATTAATAAAGTATGTAAATAAAAAGATACAATTCATATGCCTATTTCTGTCTTTTCATTTTGGCAAAATCTTTCCAGAGGTGATTCTTTGACACCTGTATTTTTAATATTGTTACTGTGTCGAATGTCTCCAATATCTAAAGCCAATAAAAGTTAGATAACCAGCTGCCTGCTTTGAGGATAACACTTCTTATCTTTAGAGACCTTTTCATGTGTCCTGATTGTTGCAGGTGACACAGTGAAGATCGGAGAAATCTCTTACAAGCTCAAGACACCCAAGAACCCAGAGCTTGTTCCTGTCAAACACAGTATGTATGTTTTCTATGAATGTGAAAATGTTTGTACAAAATATATTTCACCAGGACGTAAGAGGAAGTACATCAGAAAGTTACTGGAACTGAATTGTTTATTGGTTTCCTAGTTTCAGACTCCCTGCCGCAGACAGTAGCCCAGCACCTGAGATGGATTATGCAGAAGGATCTTTTGGGACAGGATGTGTTCCTCATTGGTCCACCAGGACCCCTGAGACGATCCATAGCCATGCAGTACCTCGTAAGTTCACACACAGATGATAGTGAAAGGATGGCATGTAAAAAAACCTGTTCAGAAGTATTCCTAAGTCTGTGATAGACTCAACTACACGTTTTGTCAGCTTTAACTAGTTAATCGAGACAAACCAACAGACTTGAATTTATCCTTCAGTATGTTTGACATCCCCTGCTCTAGAGGGAACTTTTCCATGAGTATCTGGAGCACTGCTTTTTAAATCCAAGTGTCTCCCTTGTTGTCGAGCAGGAGTTGACCAAACGGGAGGTAGAATATGTGGCTCTGTCCCGGGACACCACCGAGACCGACCTGAAACAGAGGAGAGAGATCCGCTCAGGGACGGCCTTCTACATTGACCAGGTAACTCGACACACATGTGATGCTCATAGCTTTTCTTTGGATTCACTATTTTTGTAATAGGCAGGGTTAGATATGAACCCAAGTTGATGTGAAACAGGTTTCAAATAGGACAGAGTAACACTGGAATGCTTAATGATCCCATCTCCTCCTTGTGATGACCTTCATGTTGTGTAAGGACACACTCTCTGGCTTCTCACTGGGGTTGGTGAATGAATCACCTCAGTGCAGAGTCAGGTGTGTTTGTGGCTGATTGGCCTTGATTAAAGCCAGGTGTGGGGAGCTTATATATACTCCTGGAATCCAGTGCTCTGCTGACTCATTATCTCACCTTCAGAGGTAGTGAGAGGTTCTCCCTGTGGTGTCTCTTGTTGTCTGTGTGTTCATAAACGCAAACAAATAACTTTCTGTGTATTTGTGTCTATTGCTAAAATAACTTGGGGTGCTGGGTAGTTGATATACCCCAGCCTTTTGTGTAGAGTTTTAAGGCCTCCCTGGCAGCTTTTACTTTTACTTTTACTGTGAATTGTTTCTGGGTCTCCCGGACTATTTAGTTTCGAGTCAGTGGTTTAGTTAATAATTTTCGGTGCATTAGTTAAAAGGGTGTTTTGGCTCTATACTATTTCATCCCCCCCCCCTCCAAATCTAGCGCTTGCCATTTTTGTGGTTATCCTTCTTGGATAACTTTAAGACACCCATGGGTCTGCACCTTTGTCCCACTTTCCCGTTTTTCTGACGATGTTGTCTGTCTGTGAAACCTGAAGAGCAGCTTTGCAGGATATGCAGCTTAACTTATCTGATTCTGGCATCAGTTGAATCCCTCATTTCAGCCTCTGGCTGATAGGGATAGTCTCCTGCTGTGAGAAGTGATCTAGATATTTTCAAGAGTGCAGATGTGAAAACGTCTACAGAGACAAATAACCATTTCCAACTCAAACGAGATCTCCAGGTGATATTTTGTATTGTGTCTTTCGGGAAGTTGGAACAAAACAAAAACGAAGTGTTCCTTAACTTCTCTACTCTGAATGTCTGAAGACCTTTAAATACACTTTAACAGAACCTCGTTCACACCCTCCCTTCTGTTCCTCTCTATGCCAGCGTTTAATCGATTGAGCCTCATGCAAACATACTCCCCCACACTATTGCATTTGTAAGTTAAGTAACCATGGAGACCAGCAGTTCCTCATTACCCAGGCAGGTTTCTCTCTGGAGAACTTTCTGTTCTTCATTCATCTCCATTCCTTTCTCACTGGTACAGAAAAACAATTATGGAAATAACTAAAAAAAAAATAAACCCCACATAAGCTCGATCATTAAACCCTGTCAGTAAGCTTCGAGGAGCCAGCACCTCGAACTGCCTGCTAATTAACATTTACTCAGTCATGTCGTTATCCACAGCTAATTAGCACATGGCTTCATCCATGGTTAAAAAAAAAATAATACATAGATTGCATAACCGTTTAAAAATAAACTCCATGGCAACAGGGTGAAGATTTTTTCAGGTTTTTATTCTCAGCACAATTATCCTTCAAACTCACAAATCTTTTCTACATTAAAGAGGAAGTCGCAGATAATCATTCAGAAGTTAATGCACTGAAAAAGCACTCCTGCTTTTTTTTTCTGTGGCTTGGAGGATTTATCTCTCAGTAAGCTCATCGTTAGCATCGGGGCCGCCGTCCTCCTGATGCTTCATGTTTGTTCATCTCTTGCAGATTTTTGTAATGAGGGTGTTCAACAGCTGCTAAAGGTCACAAGATAAAATGCTACAGCAAATAATGTGAGCAAAACAGTGAGTAAATGAAACAATGGCAGTCTTGGAAGCTGTCTCTGAATTATGACTTGTTTCCTGTCTATCGTCCCATGATGATGAAACAGCAACGTAACTGCTCAGGGGAGAAAACCATTTCAACTCCCCGAGGCTAAACCGTTTCACCACTTTCACCATCACGATGAGCACAGGTGTTATTGTCTCGCTAAAAGCAGAAAATTAAAGGGCAGGGTTGGTAATTTTCTCCAGATCCACTTTTTAAGATTTTGGTTGAAATTGTCTTTAGGTCCTGACAGAAAGACGGAGACGGAGCACTGAGGGAATGCTACTTTTAAAATCATGCTAGTTTTCTAAAATGACCAACCCTGTCTTTAATATATGATGTGTGTTTGTCGTAGAGTGGACTTTAAAGACGCTTGAGTCACATTTATGATGTTTAATTAATACATCTTTTATTGATGGCACCAATAGGTTTAAGGGACTTTTTTATTTCTGGTCATTCTCAAATGTCATAGCCATCTCATGAAATGTGGGCAGCAGGAAGTGTGCCTGTGTGCGGTTGGCATGTGCGGCAGTAGGAGTTGGTGTTTTGGATAATAACTTGTTCTTAATTTCAGTGTGTATTAATACGTTCCCGTGGGTGCCATTAGTGTGTATTAGTACACTTTACACTCATTATCTAACACTGATTTTGTGTTGAGGGTTTGGAGATGTGTGGGTGTAAATTAGCGAGCTTTTCTTTTTGAGAATAGTTTGGTATCGTAGGAGGTGTGTGTGTGTGTGTGTGTGTGTGTGTGTGTGTGTGTGTGTGTGTGTGTGTGTGTGTGTGTGTGTGTGTGTGTGTGTGTGTGTGTGTGTGTGTGTGTGTGTGTGTGTGTGTGTGTGTGTGTGTGTGTGTGTGTGTGTGTGTGTGTGTGTGTGTGTGTGTGTGTGTGTGTGTGTGTGTGTGTGTGTGTTTGTGTGCTAACTAGAACATCCAAGTATTCCTCAGGGCCATGTGCTGATTTGCAGCCTATATTCAGACCCAACGTGTCGGTCCCTGTGCTGACTCTTTCCTCCCCTCCCCTCTTTCAGTCCCAGCATCACCCCACCCGACAAATTCCAAGGAAAGATGGAGTCACATGGAATTGATTGCATTCTTGTTCTGTCTGTGACATCTTAACAGTCACCTCTCTCCAGTTATCTGGCTCTTATGTAATGTAGAGTAACTGTAACTCACCCTGCAAGTAAGACTCAGTTATAGTGATACAAAGCTTGTAACCTCCATGTGAAACCTATAGGTAGTCAGCGAGGTAGCCTCTGCAGCAAGTTCAACTATATATTTTTAATATTTGGATTGAACCAGCTTTTGATTCTAGTGTTCAGAACACCCAGCTCCCATCCCAATGCTGATCCCTGTGGGAGATCGGCTCATAGGGCAGTACCAGGTCGCGCTCCAGGGGTCAAGTAATTGGTCAAATCAGGTGTTACTTGAGAGGTCAGAGTGCCTGAAAGCCGTGTTTACATCATGTAAACATGGACGGGACGGGCTTGGTATAAAAGCTGTCAATAGTCAAGGACTTGAGAAAAAAAGAAGAACATACTCACTGATTGTTTGGATGCCAAGTGTTTTTAGATCACGGTCATTCTGTGTCAATTTATGTGCAATGTGAAACCAAAGCGTGCTAACATTAGCACGCTAACACAACAATGCAGGCCACAGACTATTGCAGCTCGAGCACAGGGCGGTTTTTATGCATCACTTGAAATCTCTCCCCACTCACGTCATGCCCCCTTATCTTCTCAGTACTCTTGTTTGTTTGTTTGTTCCAGCCTTACCGCTTCATATTTGCTAAAAGCTTCTGAGTATCTGTTGGATGTTCTTTCTTTGGATCAGTTAGTGTCAGTCAGAAAACAAGGTCCGTCTGTGCTTGCCCCATCTCTCTCGCCATCCTGCGTCACTTACATTTCTAACAATTATCTGATTACAGCGTTGGTGCCGAAAATGGATCCAGAGTTTAAATATAGAGCATCTGTTCCTCACTATAGTTTTATGGCTCTGCTTCCCACACAGCCTGCCTCGTATTTACATGTTAACCTAATTATATGGCCACTTGCTCTGTGGTGCGACCAGACAGCTAAAGTTTCCTGCCTCTTGACGTCAGATGTGCTTTTTGAGCCCTGCCGAAATGTGCGTCTTGTACAAACACACACACACACACACATGCTTTTTAAATGGAACCAAAAGCAGCTCCGTTTTTTCCCCTCACATTTGGTGGTAGAAAATAGGCCTTCTTAAAACAGCTGAGACGGTTTTGAAGTTTGGTTTTGGAAAGTTTGGCAGACGATCCGACCACAATACGGTGAGGACATCCTCGGGAAAGGCTTCACTGAAGGCTCCTTTTCTCACTTTAACATGGGAAGTTAAGAACTGCTGCACATGAGATTGCTCTTTCTTTAAATGCTTTTAGCACTATTAACCGTTACACAGGGTCTGAGGTCGACCAGGTTGACCGAGCAGCAGGTTTTGACCACAGGTTGAAGTGATTGCATTTAAAAATGAGCGACTCCATGTCACCAACATCCCTCTTCTTCAGTTCTAATTCGAGCAGAATATTGATGGAATTCACTGAATGGTCTCATCTTATTATTTGTGTTTGTCCTCAGTGTGCTGTACGGGCAGCAACGCAAGGTCGAGTCCTGGTCCTGGAGGGTTTAGAGAAGGCAGAGAGAAACGTCCTGCCCGTCCTCAACAACCTGCTGGAGAACAGAGAGATGCAGCTGGAGGACGGGCGCTTCCTGATGTCGTCAGAAAGATATGACAAACTGCTGCAGGTCAGAGCAGCACATGCACTCACATAAAAGTCAAACAGCCATGAGGATTCACAGGGTCTATAAAGCAGATCTGGTATTTTAAAAACGGGTTATTGTCCTTATTTGGGGGCTTTAGTGACTAATGCATCAGCCATCATACAGCTTCTATTAGCAAACATCTATCAAAGAACAAACACTAAAACTAATAGCCTCAGGTGTCTATGTTATTAACCATGACCACATCACCCCTGTCCTTCATAATTATTATTACTAAAATAGGAATCCTTGCACTTACAGACTTTTCTGTACAAGAGTCATGCAGTAAAGAAAGAAGAAGCTGATACATCTCTTCAAGCAACAACACTCCACTGACAAAAACAGGATTTTTACTTGCCTACAGATGAATTTGTTTGCACCTTTTTTTAATAATTTTAGAGACATAATATGTAACATGTTTTTGAAAAAAAACAAACACTGTTTGAGTTGTGTTGCAATCCAGTCCTCTGATTTGGTTTTGAATCATCATGATGATGAAGAAACTCAGCTGAAGGTGATTAACTTCTCTCCTGTAAATCTGCACGCTTTTTGTTGTTTACATGGGAACATTAATGTGGACGTACACACATACGCACACACACTTCATTAGTCAAACACGGGGAGCAGTTAAGGTCAAGATGTACGACAGTCATCCACACAAACTATAATAAGTCCAAGAAAACAATGTAAAACGCTGCGTCAGTGTTTCAGAGTCTAAAAATCCTTTATACTCTTTTTTTATAAATAAACTTCCCCTCCAAGAACATTTTTAAAACTCCACACGTCTGCAGACACTTTTTTTAAAAGTCAAATACCTGGTTACTCTCTCACTGACAGCAGGCTCAGAATAAGTTAGATGATATGAAAAGAGTCCATTTGTCTACTTGTTCTTTACTGCCACTCTGTCGTCTGAGTGAGCGAGACGTAAAACCTCCAAAAGACGTCAGCGTACAATGTCACTTTCTTCTCAAACACTGTTTTCATTTTAACGTCTCCCCCTTAAGGCCTAAAACCTCGACCTCTACAGCACGAGTGCCTGTCAGATAAGTACATGAAAAGGAAATAGACAAAAAATGAACCAAAAAATATCCCAACTAACTAAATGATAGAACTTAAGCAAAAGAGTATGGGCCCGACATCGGACTGTATACAAACAGAGTCAGTACGTAAGTTATATGTGTCACAATGGAATGCTAACTTGCAGGTTCTGTCTCAAAAAGCGTTCAAAAAAAATCCCTCCAGATCTTTATTTGATATGCATGATGCTAATTCATTTTTCCAACTCTTTTAGACTGTCATGACCGGCTCAAAGGCTATGGCAAGAGACGCCAAAATAACACTTATTTATGCCGATTTGTTTACAAAAACATAAATTAGATTAAGAAAGAGATGAGGTTTGGATGTCGGTAGTGTAGGTTAGTGGGTGTGTGAAAAGGGTATCATGCATGTGTTGGATGGAAAAGAAATATGAAGTAACCAGAGAAGGTGCATGCAGAGAGTTCACTGAGCAGATTGAGGTAGCAGCTTTTATAGTGACTGTGAGCGTCAGGCCCAGGTGCTCTCAGTCAGGCTGATTGGGAAGCTCCGCCTTCCAAGTACATGAGCCTGCAACACCAATCACTGAGCAGACTGAGGTAGCAGCTTTTATAGTGACTGTGAGCGTCAGGCCCAGGTGCTCTCAGTCAGGCTGATTGGGAAGCTCCGCCTTCCAAGTACATGAACCTGCAACACCAATGAGAAGGCCCAACCCAACAGGCCAGAGGGCCGCCACAAGACGTAGGTGGTTTCTCTTCCTTCCAGTGCAGGGCTATACACGGCCAATCCTTATATATTAATATATATATATTTTTTTGGCATTTCTACAAGATGTATCGCCGCTGGTGTTGCAGTGGTTAGTGCGCGCGGCTATGGTCCTCCAAGCGGGCGGCCCAGGTTCGGGTCCCCACTGTGGCTCCTTTCTCGCATGTCGCATGTTTCTCTGCCCTATCCCTCCATTTAAAATTAAAAATTAAAAAAGGCCCAAAAAAGCCCAAAAATATATCTTTAATAAAAAAACAAAACCTGTACCTGTGTGTCTTATTTCTAAAATATAGAGAATCGTCATCTCATGTTTAAGAGTAGCTCTAGTGCTGGTGCCATAAATACTGTGTGACATTCAGGGTCTAACTGTGTAACTGAATTCTCTTGCATACATATTGCATACCGTATGTGTCCAGTTATAGATACAGGATATTGTCCGAGTGTTGAATACCTGAATGCATTGCAGGATCACACCAAAGAGGAGCTGGACAGCTGGAAGATCGTCCGTGTGAGCGAGGACTTTCGGGTCATCGCTCTCGGTCTTCCTGTCCCCAAATACAAGGGCAACCCGTTGGATCCTCCTCTCCGCTCACGCTTCCAGGCCAGAGACATCTATTACCTTCCATTCAAGGTCAGACCAGAAATAACTCCCATTATCTAACACGGAAAAATGTCCTGCAACCAAAAGGTCACGCTGTTAGTAGAGAAAAAGACTCAGGGAAAACTGGAGATGATCTAACTCAGATTTTCATGAACCGGAAAAATCTGATCTGATGTGGAGAGAATGGAGCAGATTTCCAGACCATGTTCACAAGATCATTAAGACATAACTGGATCTTTATATTGTAGCTTGTGAGTTATGAAATGTTAAATAAAAATAGAACAACAAGCCAAAGATTAAAGATGCACATAGCTGCCCCTTTTTCTCTCAATAAAGAGATTCAACTATTCATATTTTACAGATTCATTGTAATGTAACTATTGTTAGTAGCAAGAGGCCTCTCGAAAAGATCTGCTTGCTTTGCCCTACAGTACGGAAGCCCTAAGAGGACAAGCATCAATACATTTTGTTATAACGAATGAATTTCAGTTCATGTATCTCATTATCTCAGATAAAAACTCTGGTTTTTATCTGGTTTTCTCCAGATCTCAAGGAAGTAACTCTTTATCCCAGGATTAGGAGATGAATAAATTGATATCTTGAGAAAATTGAGAGAGATGAATCCTTAACACAGAGAAATGGAGTAATGTTAAATGTAAGGAAACATGTCCTCGTAGGGCTTCCGTACTTCAGGTCTCATCATGTTGGTCTTTTCTTTTCAGGACATGTTGGAGCTGTTGTACTCAGCAGGACCAAACATCGCTGCTGAAAGGTACATTCAAGTTATCATGAAGTCCATCTTATTTGTCCGGTCGGTACTCTACAGCAATGATATGACGTTTTAATAATCTGTTCTGTGATCCAGGGTGTCCCAGCTGCTGTCTCTTGCCACTACTCTGTGCTCCCTGGAATCCTCCAGCCTCGGCCTGCCTGACTTCCCGGTGGACAACCTGATTCCTGCCCTCCACGTGCTGGTAAGAATAGAGGAAAGTCCAGGTTTAAAATAAATTAAAAAGACTGAATGCTCCGTTAATTCTACAATCAAATGCATCCCTTTTCTGTGTTGTTGCAGAACTCCTTCCCCATGCTGTCCTCCCAGCAGCTCGTCAACAGACTTTACCCATACAGCAGCATCCTGGGCAAGGAGGGACGCACGGCTGTGGAGGGAGTGCTCAGCGTAAGTCAAGAGGTCATTTCTTTATTTGTGCATACTTGACATAGTGTGAGCATAAGGTGAGATGTTTATTTTGGCCTACAGTCATTCAGTGCTTCTCTTTCTCAGAGGTTTGAGCTCTTGGATGGTCATCGTCAGGCAGCAGCCAGCGCCATCTTGAGCGTATCCAAGACAACGGATGTAGAGGGCCATGCAGATGTGACACTACGTATGTCAGACAAAGACATCACCTTCCAGGTAACACCAGACTAAACTTAAACTGCTGCATGGTGCAGGGGTGATTCATTCTGACTGTGGGTTTGGGCTTTTAGGAAGTAAAGCGCTGCTCCTGCTGCAAGCTGCTGTTAAAGATGACTTATTTAATGGTTTATTAAGTCGTTTTAAATCCTGCATTGTGAGCATTCATGTTGCTGTATCCTTTGCCTCTGTCTTCGTCTTTCCAAAATGTCTATGACTGTGATGAGGACTCAACTGGCAGGGATTTGTTCCAAAGCAAGTGCGTGTGCACACTGGTTTGTTGTGACTCGTTTAAACACACGTGCTTAAAAAAAATTGCAACAAGGGTGATTAAAAGTGAAGAACTCCACAGGATACATCTAGCTTTTTGTTGGGGATTTAAATTGTGTATTAAAGCAGACCATTCAAAACAAAATGGCGCTTGTCAAATCCATTTCAAAAGAGAAATGTTGAGGAGAGGGAAGAGTGGACCGAAGGATGCAAAGAGAGCCAAGCTATTTACCTGCAATGTTTTGTTGCTGAACCTCCATCGAGAATTTAAGGTCGAGCACAGACACTCTGAAAACAAATGTATGAATGTAAGTGAAAGCAGATTGAAGTATTCTGAGTGACCGCAGAAGAGATGACTAGAAGGAATAAGAGCAGAGAAGTAAAGCTGCTTAAGAATCCTGTGCGCTGTTCGTACTTTACCAGAGCAGATTATCTGTCTGTTCTACGAGTGGGATGTGAAGCTTCAAACAAATCCTGAACTAGGAAGTACGTTTTCTGAAAAAACAAAAACAAAAAAAAAAACAGTGAAAGTGGTAACACATTAGTCAGAGTTTTCCCAGGGCAGGCAAGGCACACACACACAACCAACAGACGCACATTGTATCATTAGCTGGGCCGTCTTATCTTTGACTGATACTGCGAATGCAACTCTGCGGCTGTTTGAAGGAAACAACTTTATCAGTCTTTAATTCTCCTTTCTCACTGACAAACTCTCCGTGTTTATGAATGAGTCACTGTGTGTGGGGTTCAGGAGAACAGAGGGAGCAGTCTTCTAAGAATAGTTCAGCTGCTCATCCAGCCAAACAGATGATGTCACTCCTCTGAAGTTGTGTTATCTTTATGCAGGGATGTATATTTCCTGTGGCCTCTAACGAGCGGTATTCAATGTCTTATGGATTGTTTTTGGACGCTGATAAGTTTACGACTCGCGGTTATTATAACGGGAGAAACAGAATGAAGCTGGTGTTAAACTGTGGTTACTTCCTGTCTTCTTCAAACTTCAGGTCCCAGCGGGCCTCAAGGAGCTGCGTCCGCCCAACAGCAGCCCCACCTTCATCAGCACGCCGAGCCACTCCCAGCTGCTCTCCGAGATGATGCAGTCACACATGGCGAAGGACATCTGTCTGATCGGAGCCAAGGTAGCCAACACGCGGTGCACACGCGGCGCACACAGGACGCACACACGGCGCAACTTCACATGTTAAAAATGATATCTGCTGCTAACGGCGTTTTAATTCTACCTTTTCAGGGCTGTGGCAAGTCAGTGATTGCAAGAGAGTTTGCTGAGATGCTTGGATACAGCATTGAGCCCGTCATGCTCTACCAGGTAAATAATAATCAAATAATGTGTAAGCACAGACAAAGAGCACTCATTGGATACGGTCCCTGAAATAGGGAGGTGGGGCAAGCAAATAGCAAACAGTGGAAAGAGAGATTTTTTTCATCAATTGAAACTTTCATTAGAGAAACTTTCTCTTCCTCCACTTTGTCTTTGTGTCGCTGATGAGCCAGAGTTCCCCCCTCAGGGGATAAATAAAAGATCTCATCCTTGTATTCAGCTCTCCAGCAGTTTCAGGGGAGATGTCTGAATAAGCTGCCAGGAATTTAAGTTGGTACAATGTTGTGGGTCAGAGTGAGAATATGTAGAATCCTGAAAGAGTCACATCTGTCTTCCATTAGTCCTGCCGGTCCAGAAACTGACACTGACTAGAAGAAAAAGCATGTGCGTGCGTGCGTGCGTGTGCGTGCGTGGGATTTTGAGGAATGCTGTCATTCGGGTGATGATGGTGCAGGAAACGGGTGTTTTAATGCATCATGCTGCTGCTATTCTTAGCGGTGTGGGGTCGGGGGTTAACATGTGCTGCGGGAATTGCAGAATCCTTTGTCGGAAAATTCTTCTTTTCTTCTCTGAAAATCCCATTTTTGGAAACCCAAGCAACATGTAAGGCTATATTGGATAAAAAATAAATAATTTTTTTTGTGTGTGTATCCTTAAAGGGAAAAAAATAAAACACGACAGCTTAAGCATCTCGACATGTATGTCAGAGTAGCAGTTGTCCTAACTTAAGGGTATGAAACATGAGCTGCATTACTCTGCTTAAGTCAAGAATGTAATACGAAGGCGTGGAGGAATACCTGCTTTTCCCCGCCGTATAGACGATTATGCAGATGCACCAAACTGGTCTACATTCACTTCTAACCACAGCCATCTACGATTTGCCATCCACATAGAATTAATCACTTCCTGTCCATTTCCTCTCCAGGACATGACGGCGAGGGACCTTCTGCAGCAGAGGTACACGCTTCCTAACGGAGACACAGCATGGAGACCGTCTCCGCTCGTCACCGCTGCCATCGAGGGAAAGCTGCTGCTTCTGGACGGCATCCACAGGGTCAACCTGGGCACCCTGGCTGTGCTGTCCAGGTACTACAGTTAGAAAAACACTTCGGCATTTTCACCCTTTTTGCATGCTGTTTTTCTCTTAAGAATGATCTGTTTCTATGTGTATTTTTGTGGCAAACACACACACACACACACACACACAGAAACACACTTTTTTTTTTGTAGCTCATTCCAGTTTGTTTTGGTTCCCAGGCTGCTGCATGACAGGGAGTTGGATCTGTATGATGGGACCAGGCTGCTCAGGTGGGACAGATACCAGACGCTAAAGGAACAACTACAGTTCACTGATGAACAACTAAAAGAGAGGTACACACACACACACACACACACACACACACACACACACACACACACACACACACACAAGTGTTATGGGTTATGCAAGTTTTTTCAAGCGAATTTCTGAATCAGTAACGGCGTAAAACACGGAAACAGGACGGTTGTGATGTTGGTCCTGGCTTTTCTTAGACAACAATGAGAACATTTTGAAACAGGAAGAACACTCATTGAGAGGAGAGGAAAAAGTGGAGAGGAAGACGTTAAAAATGAAAACAATGTTTGAGAAGAAAGTGACATTAGGACATGTACGCTGACGTCTTTTGGAGCTTTTATGTCTCGCTCACTCAGACGACAGAGTGGCAGTGAAATTAAAATAACAGTCAGCTGATTTGGCGCTCTGTGGGTATCTACAGAGACAAATGGAGACTTTTCAAATCATCTAACTTATTCTGAGCCTGCTGTCAGTGAGAGAGTAACCAGGTGTTCAGACTGAAATAAGTGTCTGCAGACGTGTGGAGTTTTAAAAATGTTCTTGAAGGGGAGGTTCATTTATAAAAAAAGAGTATAAAGGATTTTTAGACTCTGAAACAGCATTTTACATTTTTTTCTTGGACTTATTACAGTTTGTGTGGATGACTGTCGTACATCTTGACCTTAACTGCTCCCCGTGTTTGACTAATGGTGTGTGTGTGTGTGTGTGTGTGTGTGTGTGTGTGTGTGTGTGTGTGTGTGTGTGTGTGTGTGTGTGTGTGTGTGTGTGTGTGTGTGTGTGTGTGTGTGTGTGTGTGTGTGTGTGTGTGTGTGTGTGTGTGTGTGTGTGTGTGTGTGTGTGTGTGTGTGTGTGTGTGTGTGTGTGTGTGTGTGTGTGTGTGTCCACATTAATGTTCCCATGTCTTAAAATCCCACCTAAACAGGCAGGAAGGATGTTTGTGGTGGGGCGTCTGGGCTGAAATAAACCCACTTCCTCTTCCTCCACTCCTGTGGCTCAGACAAGACATGTGTTGTGATGTTAAGTGTGTGTGTGTTGTTGTTCCTAACTGTACAGGTTACAGTCTTCTCTTAATTCAAAGTGAAACATTGAAGAATCCTGGCAGGTGTAGACTTGACTACATAGACGATGGATGAGAAAGAACCAGCAGGTTGCTAGGCAACATATACTGTACATTCATGCATTCACAGTATATGTGAATGTGTGAGTCTGCCCATGTGTTGGCTCCTTTTCTCTTCATTAGTTGTGTGTATCTGTAATTATCCGGTAGGAGGTCTGCAGGGGACATGTCTTAAGTGTGCTCCTGCAGGGATCCTGACCTGTTCCTCAGGATACTTCATTTACATCATGCTGCAGTCAAAGCAGCTTTACCCACTGCAAACCTCTCTGCTACATCTTACACTGAAAAAGAGACACACACACACACACACACACACACACACACACACACACACACACACACACACACACTTGCTTTTCTGACCTTAATGTCCATGCCAACATTTGACCAGGTTATTCAAAATGCTTTTTGGAATTGTTAAATGGTAACTAATCCATTCATACGCATTCATATACCGCCACTGAAGCAGCGAGCGTAACTTAGTGCCCAAGGAAACATCAGACATGTGGCTGCAGGAGCTGGGGATCGAACCCAAAACCTTCCAGTTGACAGATGACCGACTCTACAAACTGAGTCACAGCAGTATGCCCCTATAAAGCTCTTTGAAATGACCGGCATCTGAATGCTGCTAACTTTTCTTAAGGAAAGGAATTCAAACATTAAGGATGTTGTTCTCAATTCCCTGACAGATAATGATGTTTCCCATGGCAACAGATGGAAACCACACGCTGCGCATCTGACTGCAGAGCAGCAGTGACACTGTAACCATTTACATTTTTATCACATTTGGATTAGGGATGCACTTTTGTTTCATGTTTTTGATACTTAATTCAAATTTATGAAACTGACTATGTAACAAGGCCAAAAAGGGCTAGGCAGGGAGAGTGTTTGATATATTTTATTTTATTTTATTTATTTATTAGCACACATATAAGAAAACATCAAAATCAGATTAACAAAAACATAAAAGGTGTGTCAGGAGAGGTCAAGAAGCCAACAGGCTTATACAAGGGACCTCACCTCTTAAGAGACAAATAAATAAACTAAGCAAATCGAATGATGTTTCTGTTGCGTTGGAGAAAGTTGCCAAACTTTTCTGAACTTATAAGGTTAACATACAAGATAAATGAATAAAACTACGAAGTTTGCTGATGATCCCCAATGACTTCACAATTGTTTTCTGAGTAAATTTAATACGTTTTTTCCAATTTAACTTCTCATCCACAAGGATTCCTAAAAATTGAGTTTGTGACACTTGTGAAATTTCTTTAGCATCCTTCTGATAACTACTTCCTTTACCTCTGAATATGATGAAATTGGACTTTTTACTATTTAATGAAAGCTTATTAAGTTTAAACCATTTTGCGGCACTCACCAATTCTTCATTTGTATTATTTATTAGGGTGTGTAAGTCACTGTGAGATAAGATCATGTTGGTATCATCAGCAAACAGAATGGGAGAAGAACGTTTACAAGCTAAAGGGAAGTCATTCATATAAATGAGAAATAATAAAGGTCCTAATACAGATCCTTGTGGTACTCCACATGTTACATTAAGAGTGCTTGAAGCACATCCATTGATTACCACATACTGTTCTCTCTCACTCATATAATTGGTCAACCACTTCAGTGTGTCACCTTGAAGACCATAATGTTGTAATTTAGAAAATAAAATATTGTGATTGACAGAGTCAAATGCTTTAGACAAGTCTAAAAAATGCCAAGTGCGTATTTATTATTATTTGTAGCTGCCTGTATTTTGTCTATGAGCTGTAAAAGTGCCATATAGGTAGACCTGTCCTTTCTAAATCCATTTGGATTTTCATATAAGATGTTATTTTCTTGTAAATGTGTTCTATTCTTGAGTAAATTAACTTCTCGAGAATGTTTGAGATGTATATAGGACGATAATTTGGGAAATTTCTTTGATCACCAGTTTTAAACAGTGGTATAATTTTTGCTCTTTTAAGCTCTTTCGGGACAACACCAGTAGCCAGAGATCGGCCTAGGGTATGAGTGAGAGGTTCTAATATGTAATCTGATATTTCCTTAATTAAAGAACTACAATTTCATCATGGCCAGCTGAGGTATTTATTTTTATTTTTAATGATGTCACTTACTTCCTTTGGCTGTGGGCGCTCAAAATTTGAGATACAGCCATATCTTTTTTCTAAGTAATCTAAAGGGCTGCCTACCGTGTTGTCAATTTCATTTGAGAGAGAAGCACCTATATTTGCAAAAAAGTTATTAAAGCCACAAGAGACTTCATATGGATCATTATTGAGTTTATCACCATTTAGAAACTGAGAACTTGTGCCTAAAGATATTTTCTTCTTTTTATTTAGCAGTTGGTTGATAATATTCCATGTAGATTTGATATTATTTGTTGATTCTTTAAAGTTCTTTGAAAAGTATATTTTCTTAACTGTGTGTAAAATATGCAGATACTTACTTTTGTATAGCCATGTTTCAGTTAAAGCTATTATAGAAAATGTTTTGTTATTTTGATTCATAGAGGGTTAAAAAAGAATACAAAAACAGTTACTAAAAAAATTATAAAATATGGGCAGCCTAAGAGCTTGGTTGGTGAACAATGAGCTGATCATAACGTAGATAAGCAATCGGACCCTTTTCTCGTGCCTCCAGAAGTTTAGGCCTCAGCTCCATTCGTTTCCTTCTCACATTGTCTGTAAAGTCTTCATTTACGAAGATCCTGGGGCCTTTCAGCTTTTTTCCGCTTTTCAGAATTTCCTCTTTGTCCTTTAATCGAAGCAACTTATCACAATGGACCTTGGTCTGTTCGGTTGCTCTTCATATTATATAGTATTACAGTGCATGTTTAAGCTCAATAATAGCTTCTATTTTCTGCATATATGAAATGTCTTCCCGCACTCTCATGCAGTGGCGATGATGATGGTTAGCGCCAGCTTCCGCCCACATTACAGTAAATATATCCGGCTCCAGAAAGGGAGTCAACGTGGGGTGAAAGAAAGGAACTTCGCTGTCCTCTTCAATCAGAGGATCACACAGCCAGCTGTCAGAAGTCGTGCTCCTGAAGCTGACATGGATTAGTTCAGACACTCACTCGCATATAGACACACACCTGCAGTGCACCTGCACTCAATCACTTCACTACAGCTGGACAGATTTATAAACTGTGTGTGTTTCTCTTTAAGTGTAACTATAAACTGGGCTGTGTGTGTGTTTGTGTGTGTCTCCAGGTCAGTGTTCCCATCCATCCATCGTTCAGGGTGCTGGCTCTGGCTGAGCCCCCCGTTGTGGGTGCTGGTACGAGCGGCGGCGGCGGCAGCAGAGGTCAGCAGTGGTTGGGTCCTGAGCTGCTCACCATGTTTCTGTATCACACTGTCACCCCGCTCGCCAAAGCGGAGGAGATGGGCCTCATTCAGGGACTGGTGAGACAGACACACTGAAATATTATAAAAACGTCTTTATATGTCAGTGCAGCAACAACTCATTACCTACCTGTTCAAATCAACATTAAATCAACAGTAAACTTCTATTATCCTCTTCTTTCTTTCTTTTTCTCACTTTCAGACTCTAAATGTTCCAACAGAAGCAGCAGAGCAGCTGTTGCATCTCACACACAGCCTCCGCAGTACGAATGACCCCACAGTAAGTGAACATGTGTATGATGTTAGCTGTTTATGTGTATGATCTGAGTTTTTAATCATGCCTTTGTGCGTCTGCAGGCACAGTCTCTGGCCTCGTCTTTGTCCACCAGACAGCTTCTGAGGATCTGTCGTCGTCTCTCTCAGTACCCCGAGGAGAGCATCGCTCACGCTGTCAATAAGGCCTGCCTTTCCAGGTACGCATAAACCTCTTTCACACGTGCACTCCTGATATCTTCAAGACTCACCTGTTCACATATCCCCCTCATGTGTATTTAAGGTTCCTACCCAGCCTGGCCCGTGCCTCTCTTGAAAAAAACCTCGCCAACAGCTCCATCCAGGACTCTCCAGATCTCAATGAACACACTCGTGACTTCAGCTGTAAGTTGAAGCCAGCTCGCTGTCTCTAAAAACATTTTATAGAGCACACAGGTTTTTTGCTGTCGACACGCCGACACAAACACTTGAAGGAATCTTGGTGTTCATGGGTTTCTATTAATTGCAGCTGTCCTTTTCTATTGGAAAGGTATCCTTAAAGGACTTCTTTCCCTGATTTCTGACTCTATTCACTATCCTGTCTCTACAATAAAGGCCTAAAAAGCCCCCCCCCCAAAAAAAAATAAAAAAAATAATATATATATATATATATTTTTTTTTTTATTGAATATTTAATTTATTCTATTCTTATCAAAAATGCTGTGACTCTGAAAGTTGTTGTGTCATGTGAAAAACATTGGCAACATTTCGGCACCAAAACATTGCCAATGTTTTTGTGCAATTTAGGCACTTCGCAGGAGTTTACCTGGAATTTCTGATGATGAAAAATGAGAACCCAATCCCAAAACTGGGTGTCTAGGATTTCTGTATTTGTTGCTGTGGTTTTGAAAAAGGTTTTGATATTGTTTGACTTTTTTAAAGTCTGGTATCATAACAACCCTTGGCCATTAGAGACCATCCCGTCATTTAGTATTTAAATTGAGGGTTAATGATGTGTGGATGCCGTTAAACTGGAGGAGTCGAGTGTTAAAGAGGACTGAATGTCAGACTGTGTTTGTTAAAGAGGATCCATCAGAAACATTGACGTCCTCTCTCGTGTGTCTCCAGGCTCCATAAAGGACGGCTTGCTGACTATTGGTAAAGTTTCTGCTCCCGTCTACAACGCCAAGGAGAAAATGAAAATCCCGGACGTCCTCTTCTATGATAATCCTCAGGTAATTACACACGATTTACAGCTAAATACACTCAGCAAGACACAAACCACATCTGTAAGTGCACCACACTTTTCTTTTCTTTTCAATAACAATTTTATTGAAATTTTCAAACAATATAACAGTTAGAAGACATGTACAACGACACAACCAAAAGGACTAAAATCAACAGCTACAAAAAACAAACCAAAACAGACAATAAAATTAAAATGAGAAAAGGCATAAAAAATACCCCATTTCCTCATCATGCTCACTTCAAGGTTTTATTAACCTGCCAGAGTCCATTAAATTTAAATCCAGCCTCAGCCTGAATGGGAATGTCCAGTGTCCGTATTCAGTCCAGAGGGCTTCCAATTCAGGTAAGAGAATTCTTTTGACAATAAATCTAGACTCTCCGCGGGGAGGTAGTCCATGAGTGGTTGCCATGTGATCAAGAATAACTGTCCATTGCCCTTCAGCACTGCACTAATCCTCTCGTGTGGAAGTACAGAAAAAATCTCTTTGTACCACCTAGTAACAGTGGGAGGTTTGTCCTTGATCCACCTCAAGTAACAGTTTATCCAGCAATTTAAATTTAAGAGAGGGCACTTCATTTACGAGTATTGAGGGAGGGGAGACTCAGCTCCCTTATAAAGTGACGAATCTGCAAGTACCCAAAAAATGCTCCTTGGGAAGGCCATAATGAAGTTGAAGTTGCTGAAAAGACATGAGAATACCATCTTTAAATAAATCTCCAATAATGTTAATGCCTCTGGACTTCCAAAACTCAAAAAGTAGCTGCTATTAGCCGGGGGGAAGTCAGCATTCCCACAAATAGGTGTCAGCATAGAGACCAAATCCTTCCTCCCAGAGAAACTAACTATATCCCTCCAGACCCTCACAGAATTGTAAACTATCAGGTTAGCTTTGACCTCTTTCATTTTGCCTTTTGCAGTTAATCAGGCCCCACATAGATAAAGGCGAGCAGGCCTAGGAATCGATGCAGAAAGTTGAGTCAAGGTATGAATGAAGACAACCCCAAACTATCATTATAATTACCTCTTGCTAGCAGAGCAAGGAGGCGACCTCATTAATCGCCGGACTCATACAGTCTGTGTCTGGCAAAGTTTCAGCTTTTTTAGTGAGCACCTGATCCAATGCTGCTCAAGCTGCATCGAAATGTTTTCCAAGTGGTTTTGTGGGATTGGACTTAAATTCTTCTTCCAAATGTTTGACCTTTTCCTTAAGTTGTAATTGAGTTTTTAGTCTGCCAAACACCTCTGAAGAGGTGTATGACATAATAGATCCCCTTAAGTAGCACTTAGCTGTTTCCCATAAAGTTGAAGGGTTAACATCTGGTGTTCTATTCACTGCCAGAAAAAAATCTAGTTCTTTAGTAATAAAATCTCTAAACTGGGCGTTACTCATGAGATGAGAATTTAGGTGCCAATGTCTACAAGATGGATTGTTATATGGAGGACAAAAGGTGACACTAATGGGGCAGTAATCTGAGAGGACTTGAGTTCCAACTGAGCATTCAGTAATTCTTTCCAAAATTCCCCTTGAAACTAAGAAGTAGTTGATTCTAGAAAATTATTGATGGGGTCAGGGGAGGATGTCAAATCTCGTTCTTTTGGGTTCAAGATCCTCCATTCATCGAATAGTTCTATGTCCTTGCACAAATCTAACAAGTTGGTACTTTTCTGAGATCTCCTATCTTTAGAAGGGGACTGATCAAGGCTGGGATCAAGCACACAGTTAAAATCTCCTCCAAGCACTACAAGAGAGCAGGATAATGATGAAATATCTGCGAGTAAACTAGATAGGAATGATGGTTCATATACTGTGGGTGCATAAACACAACCAATTACAATGTGTTCCCCAGAAATATAGCCTGATATTAGAACATAACGACCTTCCTTGTCTTTAATCTCCTTGTCCACCTTAAATGCAAGACTGCGGTGCATAAGAATTGCCACCCCAGGGCTACTGCTGTTATAGGAGGAGTAAAAGACCTGACCCACCCAGGTTCTACGTAGTTTAATGTGTTCGAGATCTGAAAGATGGGTCTCCTGGAGAAAGCCAATCTGGCAGTTTTCCTTCTTTAGGTAAGAAAGTAGTTTTTGTCTCTTGACCGCATGATTTATCCCTTCAATGTTAAGGCTAACAGTTTTTATGTTACTGTTTTATGTTAAGTTGTAATATAGGAGCAGAATAATTGCCGCAAGACCTCTGAAGCAGGTATCCAGGCAAACACAATACGTGCCGGCAGATAACTAGGAATAGGAAAATAAAAAAATGGGGTATAAAGGACACAGAATATTAAAGTAAATACATATAACATTGAGTTGAACGTGTCAGCAACCACCAACCGGGGGTGCTGTGCATAAAACAGGACCCACACACCCTTGCCCCCCCTCCCCCCAACCCTGCGCATCCTAAAAGGTGCAACAACAATAATGGGACCATGAAGCCGAGGAGATTTAATCTGAATAATAAATAAATATAACCTAAAATAAAACCTGAAAGAAGAGGAAAAATAAGAAACTCTCAAAATGCATACTAAATTATGAAACTAAACAAAATCCCCTTCAATACTCCCGCCCCCTAAGGCATGACACAAAAGTATTTGGCATGGTCAACAGCGGGTAAAAAAAAAAGAGAGAGCTACTTCCAGAATAACATATTTTATCTGAACTGAAACTGCCTTTTGACGTTCAGTGGTATAATGTAAAACAAATGCCTGCCGTATTGCACTGCCTCATTACAAGTAGCTCGAAAGCTTTCTAGAGAATCCTTGTTTAATGTTAAAAAGACATTTCCAGGATGTGACCCAGAGTTGATCCAGATTAGAAACAATAATAAGAATAATCCATTGTTTTTATTTTGTTTTCTCTCATTTTTGAAAACACCCTCTTCATGTTTTCCCTCGACAAACAATATTCAGAGCACGGTTGCTGCAATTGAGGCCAAAAATGGATAAAGACGACATCTATGATCCCGTTATTTTCCGCTCAGTTTCAACCCCCCCCTCATCTTCTTTGTGGTCAATAATCTAATTTATACTCTCCGTGTGTGATCTTTTTTCATTACCAGGGATTTTCCTTTTAGTTCTGGTACTTGCTGACATTTTTCAGTCTTAGTTAGTTGTTGTTCCTACTGGGATGTTTCAGAAACACTAGAGCGACAGCGATGCACTCTCCTGACCATTGCTCCGCCTGTACACTGAGCCTGATCACTCACTGCTGTTATTGATGAGAAATCAAAGTGTGTTTGCAGTCAGAAGATTTTATTGAACATCAGCGGCCAATTTGAAGCTGAAATCGTTAAAGAAATAGAGCAAAGGTCACAAGACGTCAATATCAGCACATATCCTAAATCTATTAATAGATATATGACATCATGCTTTTTAAAGCTCAGGTATCAGATACGTATGTGGGGGCTCTGAAACATACTCATGCAATCAGAGTTAAAAGTTTCTCTCTGAAGGATATTTCTATTTGCGAACTTACTGCCTGCTAAACACTCAAACAATATAAACAGGATATACTGCATACTGCACGCTAACCTAGTGCGAGGTTAGCAACATGCTAAACTACGGTTCATGTGACGTACTTCCGGTCCGTGCTACGTTGGATAAGCTAGCATCAAGCTAGCATGACCGTTTGTCTGTAAATAGAATTCAACAACAATAAAAATCTGTTCATTACTAAAACAGCTATATTTTACATTTTAATATAATTTGACAACATTGAATATGAAACGTAGTACAGTACGGTTGCTTTTATTTGTTGGCTGGACTGCAAGCTCCACTATTGGATAGTCTGAGAGCTGCAATGCATTGTGGGACAGTTTTGTATGGCCAGCCTAGACGCATACAAAAAAAAAAAAAGAATCATACTTAAAAATAGTGAACATCCGGGTATTTCTTCTCTGGTTTGGACTCTTGACCCTCAGGTGTACAGTAGATGAAACATTTTACCAGGTGAAACATGAACATACCTATCTCTGTTTCTGTCTGAGCCTCCTCATCCTTTTGGCCTCTTAACCAGACGGTGACTAAAACCATCGTGCTTAGAGGAGGAACCACAGAAGGAGAATGACACTCTGACATCCTCGGGTAAATTTTAAATGACGTAATTTGACCCACATGAATCTCGCTCCCACTCCCTCTCTCTGCATCCTCGTTCTGCTCGGCTTGTATCGGAGACTGAAATGTAGAGTGGAAGAGGGCGAGATCGTATGAGAGGAAGGAGGATGCCCTACTTATCAAATGACCTGTTTTCTGTTTTTAAAAATCATTGAGAGCAGAAGGGAGGACAAACCAAAGTCCTCCACTGTTTTTTTTTTTTCCGCACAAGTCGATGTTATTTAAAGAAGTTGTATCCTCAAGCTTCAGCTATGTTTTCTATAATATGTGAAATACAACTCACCACAAAGCACACCTGGGTTCAGTCCACTCATGTAGGTTCATGAAAGTAATCGTAACACCTGAGCTATTTGTCATTTGAATGTCTCTCTTTGTTCATCTCTGCAGCACATGATGGTGATGGAGGACATGCTGAAAGACTTTCTCTTAGGAGAGCACCTCCTCTTGGTGGGAAACCAGGTAAGTGGCATCAATGCATGAGCTTCCTGCTTTACTTTAAAATTCACCTCCAGAAAAGAGCCTTCCTCCACAGAGGTCTAATTATAATCCTCGTTTGGTGTCATATAATAATAAACAGAGCCTCCTCTTACAGAAAGAGGTTTATCTCGATTCTGCAGCAGTCTGCCTCACATGTCAGTCCTCTTTGAGCTGTGCAGGAGAACTTCGGCTTTAATGATGCCCTCTAATGTCACCCTCGAACCCGACTATCTCACATCTGATATGGACATAACTTTGCATGTAGCAATCCCTCTGTGCCCCCTGTTCAGGTCCTAATGGGCAGGGTTCGAGTGAGGAGTGAAGGGGTGGAAGGACGTGTTGCATGTCTCTGGTTGTCACTATGTTAGATGCTTCGATACTTTTTGATACCAAGTGTTTTGAAAGTGGTACAATCAATGGTGTTAAAAAATACTGAAACTTTAAAATAAATAAATCTATAGATGCAGAGGTATGAAATGTTGAAGAAGCAGAGTTGGATTTTCTTGCACAACTTCACCGACTATGCATGAAGAATGAAAGGCTTGACGAGGTCAAACGGCTCCAGCAACACTTGTAGTATGAAGACAGGTATCACTCTAAACTGTGCTTTGCCTGGAGCGCTGATAGCCCAGCAGTTATGTCACACCCCATGTACAGAGGCTATAGTCCTCGTCACAGTGGCCGTGGGTTTGAATCCGACCTCTGCCCTTTGCTGCATGACCCCACTCTCTCTCTTCTCAACACTTCCTGTCCTCTCTAATGAAGTCAAAAGGCCCAAAAAAATCACTTCCTGTCTGGACTAGTTCCAAACCCTTTTGGTAGTCTTTGTTCAGATATACTGGAATGACTCTTCAGGGAGGATTTTTATTGAATCCTGCTGGTGTCTGACTGTTGTGATTTTTGTGTCCCTCTGCAGGGCGTGGGTAAGAATAAGATTGTGGACCGGTTCCTGCACCTTCTGAACAGACCCAGAGAATACCTCCAGCTGCACAGGTGACGAGAACCCCACACGATCTGTATGATTATCCAGTTTATTTAACAGCAAACGCTCAAATGCTTAAAATCAGCGAGGACCCCGATCACTGCAGCTCGTACGTTTTCAACTTCACAGCAACTTTTCCTCCGCACATTTATCATCTTGTTGCGCTGTTTTGAGACTCTCCAGACAGCTTCAATATAGTCGGCTTTTCTCCACTCTGGGTCTCAAACTTTCTCAGAATATCTCCTTCATAGAAAGTAACAAAAGGTTCTTTTCAACAAGACTTCATTTCAGCTGCTCATGTTTTCAAGGAGAGGGTTTATAAGAGCTGTTACCGGGGGCAGAAAAGTTCACAAGTTCAGCTTCAATTATCCCATGAGGGACATTTGGTTTTTACGATCCTCAAAGTTCAGAATGAGGTTAAGCCCTTTGTGGCCTCTAAATGTGACATGTTGCGCCCCTGAGTCGACTGACATCTATCTGTCAATATCTTCACTTGTCTTCTTTTCAGCTGCCACGTCATCCTCTCAGAACAGTTACCCTAAAGTCTGAACTTCACAGGGTTTTTGTGATCGAAGATAAATCTCAGAAAGATATTGGCCGACATATCTGTATCGTAAGGTTTTTTTCTCCCTAATATCGATATCGGCCCTAAAAATCCCATGTGGGTCGGGCCCTCGTTACATTTTATTTTACTGACTTTATGGCTTATTTTGAGTCCTTTTAGTCAGATACAGCCAGAAAACTCCCAAGATTTCTCCAAATTAAAGAGCTTGGATCGATTATAATTCATTTTCACATTGTGTATATGTGCTTGTGCATCAACGTTACCGTGCCGAAGCACACCTCTTCCAAGCGTGCCAGGGTCAAGGAAGTGTACCGTGCTTGAGCATTGAACAGAGCACTCACACTAGTCAAACGTGCTCGGTCACGGTACGGATCGCCTGGTGTGAGTGCTCCCTTACACTGTTCAGTGGGGTTTCAGGAACAGCTGGCTGAGCTGCTGCTGATGGACTAAAATCCATCATGTAGCCTAATATTTAGTACAAATAAACAATAATAAAGTGACTTGAACATGACAACAGTTGGCTTGCAATGTTAAATATCCTGACAACAGCTAAAACAAGATACTATCATCATAACTCAATGTTGGAGTTTGATTTGAAACCAAACTAAAGAGAAAGAATGACGTCAAAGCTTCACGCTAACCGACTGATTCTGCAGAGAAAAACATCTGAGTAATTTTCAGCCCTAGATATCACTATTTAAAGCAGCCCCCCTTTTATCATGTTTAGGCCGAATCATGATGCTTTTCAGGAGAAATAATCACGTGTTTTTTTTTTAAGTTTGTCAGTAGGAGGAGGCACAGTCTTCTCTCACTTCCCTGGCAGCGTTAGCGTTCTCAATCTAAAGGTGTCAGAGACTATTTTGGCTCTCAGTAAATCAGGCCATCCTACACAGGAACAAGAGCTCCTCGTGCCCAAATAAAAGAGGAACCGTGTGAAGCAGTCCTCGTTAGTTCCATAAATACTCACCCGATTACACCTCAGGAAAATGTAGGTCTGAGTCGCTCATCTATAAATCCAAGTGTTGTGTGCTGTGAAATCAGTCCTGCTGTCCAATGTGGTGCAGATCAATCAGAGGTGCAGATGGGTCTCGTATTGATCCTGGCACTAATAAGAAGGAAGGAAGGGGTTCACGTGTCGACGACTGTGACGGGAGAACAAACAGAATGCCAATAAAGGTCGTCACCTGCCGAAGTATTAAGCACTAAAGCGATGCATTGAAGAGAAAACTCTTTACTAGTGGCAACATCAGCGGCACATCCACCTGTAAAAAAAACTACAAAATGTATGACTCTGTGTGTTTTAGAGTAGTTTTTCAAAGTCTAATGAAAGTCAAAGTGGAGCGGAGCTTGCTTGTGTCCTGGTTAGCGATCATAGCAGCAGCAGCAGCAGCAGCTAATATTAGAGCCGGGCAGAAGAAGAACTGTGCGTGTGGCTTTTGGGAGCCTGTGACTGAAAGGCCTACAGAGATGTGGCTCAGAAAAGAGGGAGATGCAGTCGGCCAGGCAGGAAAGTGGGACAGCTCCTGGGTCACACTCAGACATCGAGGAGAACGAGAGAAAGAGAGAGAGAGACGTTCAGAGAAAGAGAACGACGGATAATTCTGGACATAATCTGGGAATTGGAAGTTTTCGGGAGATGATTAAACATGGTGTTTGTTTATTTGTTGGCCTGTTAAATTTCATTTTAGTGTTATTGACAACCTTTTTCACAGACCTGCATCTTTGCTGACTGAGTCGTAATGAGTTAAGGAGCCGGCCCTGCATCCATGGAAACCAGAAATACAATAATCAATTAATCAATCTCTGTTTTTCCACCGACTCTAAGGAACTCTATCTTCTTTTTTTTTTAAAGATTTCTTCTGCCTTTATTGGAGAAACAGGACAGTGGATAGGGACATAAATCAGAGAGAGAGAGAGGGAGAGTGGGGAATGACATGCGGGGAAGGAGCCACAGGTCAGATATGAACCCGGGCCGCCCGCTTTTGAGGACTTTCATAGGGCGCACACTTACAACTAGGCTACTAGCATCACCAAAATCTCTAATTTTGATTCTTTTTTTCATATCTGATAACTTAGTCTGGGTGTGAAGATCTTGTTTCAAGCTTTCGAGAACCAATCAACTATTTTAAAAACGAAAGAGAAGTTATTTTTTATCAAAAAAATAAAAATTAAGATCTTAACAAGGTTTTTCTTTTTACTTTAAAGTGATACCTTGAAGTTTGTCTGCAGATTTTGCACATGGCATTAATCATTTCTCATTTTTATACATTTTTTGACTCCATGGAAATGAAACAAGAAGCAGAAAACTTAATGAATACCTGCAGTGTAACACCTCGCCTCGCCTGTTTTCTGCTCCTTCAGAGATACAACTGTTCAGACTTTGACTCTGCAGCCGTCAGTCAGAGATGGCATCATCATGTACGAAGACTCTCCCCTGGTCAGTTAGTCGCGCACACACACACACACACACACACACACACACACACACACACACACACACATTTTGCATTCTGTTTTTTTTTTTTTTTTAGCCGAGTGTAACTTTATTTGTAGAGGTTGAAGCTCAAGAAGGGGGAGGCAAATGCAAAGTTAACAGCTAACATGTGCGCTACTTTGATTATCAAGGTGCATCCCTATTCACAGAAGCAACGATTAAAAAAATGGAAAGTTGCACGGTCCCTCCCAGAGCTTCATCCTTATTGTCTTCCCCTCATGAGTGCTTTAACATAAACTACAAGTCATGAGCTTATTTCGAAAAAATTAACAGGTAAATTATTTGTGGTATTCAGCCCTGAGAAGCAGGTTATTACTGGTTTTCTGAATCTATGTCTATGTAATCTATGTAATCTAAGTAATCTAAGAGTAATCTATGAAGCATTCTTAATACCATATTCATAACTTTTTTTTGTGTGTCTTGTTGTGCGTGTGCGTGCAGGTGAAGGCAGTGAAGATGGGTCACATATTGGTCATCGACGAGGCAGACAAAGCACCAACTAACGTCACCTGCATCCTCAAAACCCTGGTGGAGAGCGGAGAGATGATTCTGGCCGACGGACGCAGAATCATCTCAGGTACTCACAGAGACACTCCTACACACACGCACACACACACACACACAAACACAACCACACACGCACACACACACACACACACACACACACACAGCAGACATGTCCCAGATAAAGAGAGCGAGACGTTTACATGAAGGAGATGAGGGTCGGATGTCTCAGAATACAAACAGTTACCGGCCACTAAAGAAGGATTAGGATAAAAGTGTTTCTGGACGGGGACCAGTAGATACAGTGTATTAGACGATGCTGGACTGTAAACCTGCAGATTTTCTCACCAGTTGCTGACAGCTTCTCCTTCCCTGTGAGGCATTTTCCTTGCAGAGGAATGTAAACAAAACCCTGAGACTTCATAAACACAAACCTGAGACTTCTCATGATGCTATCACGAGCAGCCGAGGTGTGCGAGAGAGCCACTTCAACTAATCAAATCAAAACATTCAGCGTTAAAAATAGAGCAGCGTCAGAGGCAGAAACAGGGAATGTGGGTGTCTCTTTTGTTTCCTTTTCATGCCTCGTGCTAACTGTGACTGTTTCTCCTCCATAGATGCACGTGAAGCCAACGGGAGACTGAACACCATAGTCATGCATCCAGACTTCAGGATGCTGGTTCTGGCTAATAGACCTGGTTTTCCGTTCCTGGGCAATGACTTTTTTGGAGCTCTAGGTAAATACTCACCCACACCCTGCAGCAGAGGAGCATAGCAACAGGTCCGTCAAAACTGCAGCAGCGGTTACACTCTTTACCCAAAGGTGCCGCACATCAGTTCAACTGTACAGCCGAGTGCTAGAACCGAACAGTTGTCATTTTATCCTTGTGGTTTTTTTGTAGGGAAAACTCTAGCGTGACCATATGAAGAACTGGGCAGATACATTTGTTAAAGCTCCTGTGAGGAACCAAGGTTTTGGTTTTGGCGCCCCCTATGGACAGAGCAGTGTGTCTCATGCCTTTTGCTAATCTGTCCCTGGACATATGTAGGTGAAATAAAATCTTGTCTTTCTGTCTTTTTATGATCAAATGTATCACTCAATTTGAAAGGGTACTTTGGAAGAAAGTCTGTTTCTTTAGTGTGCTGTGAATGGTCTCCTCTGTCACCGACCCCCTGGGATCAATAACAGGCATTAAAACTTAAAGAAAGAATCACTTGATGCTTTTGAAGGCTGTAAAGAGGCACCAGTATTATTTCAAGTCTAGGATTGCCACACAAGTATTTTAAGCTTTGATACTAATTACAATTGAAAGATAACCTATGCACCATATTGGGTAAATTCTTGATTTCAATTATCAAAAACTGCAGACAAACTCCTGCACACCTTCGAAATAGCGCAAAGACACAGGCAACGCGTCGGGACAGGCTATTTTGGGGGCTTTCTCTGCTTTTATTATTAGAGTGAAAGGACAGTGGATAGTCGTAAATCAGGGAGAGAGAGAGAGGGGAATGACATATGAGGAGCCACAGGAGGGATTCAAACCCAGGCCGCCCCCTTGGAGGACTACGGCCTCTGTCCATAAGGCTACAGGCGCCCCAGTACCGACTGTCTTTATTGCACAAATAGGTTGGCACCGAACTGTTTCCAATGTATTTGTGCAATTAAGACCGTTTGCCTGCAGTTGTTGATGGAGTCATTGTTGTTCAAGATGTTGTTGTTTTTTTTTTTAAAGCTTTGGTCTTTTTTGAAATTGGCAATCATTAAAATATGAGAGATTGTATCGTTTTAAAAACATGAAGTATTGAGAATTTTGACAGTCTTGTTTCACCCTGCTTTGAAATCAGTTCAAACCTCCTCACAGAAGCTTCATAAAAATGAACAATGACTTCAGGAAAGGATGACGAGTCTTTATCCTCTGAACAGGGGACATCTTTAGCTGCCATGCTGTCGACAATCCGAAGCCGCAGGCGGAGCTGGCGATGCTGAAACAGTACGGGCCCGACGTCCCTGATGCCACTCTGCAGAAGCTGGTGGCTGCATTTGGAGAGTTGAGGTCTATGGCCGACCAGGGCACCATCACCTACCCGTACTCCACCCGAGAGGTGGTCAACATCGTCAAACACCTGCAGGTAAGAGGGCGATCTCGAACATAACACAGAGTACATGCACTTCACACTTCACACTGCTTTTTAGATTTGAGATTTTCTCAGATTTGGAATCTTTTTTGAATAATTCATACACATTATGTGACCTTAATCCTGCACTGCTGGATACTTAAATAATGCAGAAGCACAGCTGGGACAGAAAGGGGGACCCTGCTCCAAACAAGGACAAACACACACACACACACACACACACACACACACACACACACACACTCAGTGACACACAGCCCATCAAACACAGCAACATAAGAATGGATATTTAATCTGCAGCTGTTTAGACCAGTCCAAGACTCGCTACGCTAGGCTGGAAAAAGAGCAACAACATAATGGCAACATTAAATAAATGGAGAAAAGTTAGATATAACGGGGGAAGGAGAGGTTTTATTTTCAGGTGGTCACTCCTGCAAGACATTTCTAGAATCCGCTGTACACACCAGAAGTGACAGAAGTACAAAAACAAAATGAAAAAGAAGAGTTTGAGAGACGAGTCACACACCTTTCTCACCTCTCTCAGAGTGAGACTGAAGTCTGATGGTGTTTCTGTTGCTTCAACCATCAAAGTTTGATGCCTAAAGTTCAGTTTTTCTTGCCCTTGTCCTTCTTGTCTGTGATAACTTCCAATTATTGCACCGGTCCCCTCAGCTTCATAAAAGCCCTCTCTTTAGCCCCATACACACAAACTGTGATATTTACACCTCTGTGATGTTTCACCTTCAACCTGAGGGACAAAGTGATCCCCCAGAGGACAGTGGGGGAGTGCTGTGTGTCTTGAGGAGCACATAACAAGGTGCACAGATAAAAGAATAAAAATAAGTTTCTGGATTCAAAGTGTACATGAACATTTTCACCTCCTCTTCATAGCTTCCATCATCATCTTCGCCTCTAGTCTTCAGTGTTTTAGTCGGTAAACAAAGGAGTGTTTTCAGCTTGTTTAAGTGAACGTCGGCATGCAGAAGTCTCCTCATGTGTTTATTTTGTTGGTGTTGTGGTGGTCTTTAGAAGTGCAAACAGCATTAACCCCTTAGTGGATGAAAACATTCCAATGAGAGATCTGAAGAAGAAGCCTTAGAGGAGAGGGGGGGGGGGCTAAGATTCCTGCTCCTGAAGATCATTACTGCAGTGCAGAGATGACCTCATGTGTCTGATTTCCCCACTGACCACCTTTTCCTGCCGTCCCACTTCTGCACGTTGACAGATACAACATAATCTAGTCGATGGCTGCATTGGTGGGGCCTAATTACCATTTCACATTAGGTCATAAATGTGCCTCTGTGGTTGCTAGGGAAGCAGATCAATCAAATGTAACCATTTGGGAATAGGTGGTTGGTTATTGATAGTAAAGAATACTTAAAGGTCTGTTGTGTAGGACCTCAAGCCCAATTATGGTCCTAGGAAACCAGGATTTCATTATCAGCATAGGGCTTTTTTTTAACTTCCACTAAGAAGATTACGCAAATATGGACTGTAGGTCTTATGCTGATGTTTGTATGAAGTGATGGAGGGAGACAAATCCATTCAAAATCAGTTCATATTAATAATGGCGGCCACAGAAATGGCGGCCACAGAAAAGTCCTGGTGGTTTATTTTCTATTCCATATCAAAATTGTTTTCCTCTTGGGGCTAAATCTTCAGATCAAGTGGAACAAGCAAACATCAATAACCACACAAGTTCATCGATAAACATCACACAAAAAGTAAGGACAATTGTGTTTGGTAGATAATCATCAACAACGCTTCTTGGCAGTAGATCTTATACGACGATGTGTAAGAGAGCCATCGGCCATATCGTCCTGCAAATCTGTAGAAGACTGCCTACAGTTCCTGTGTGCTGACAGGGTTAGGAAACAGGTCTTCTTGGGGTGTCTTCTTCTTGGGACGCCCACTTCGCTGTTTGGCATTGGCAGAGAAGATTTGGCAAGTTTTTCATGTACTCAACCCACATACTCAGCTCTGCTGCTCATCCCACAAATGCATGTTCCTTAAGAATGTGGCACCATTTAAAAAGGAAAATAAACAGGCTTTCCAACAGTAAAATATTCATTGCCAAGAAGCATTGTTACAACAAAGAAGTAATCTCCTTACTTTATGAGCAATTTTTAGACACACACACACACAAAGAGTAGCTCTTCTTATGCTTGGGGGATTGTAGTGGAGACAGTAGTGATGCACCTCAGCTCAACAGGTAGCTTCTTCCAGTAGTTAGATGGTAGTTTGTTTGTCAGAAATTTACATTAATAATCTGAGTCTGTAATCTGCAAGGTGAAGCGATCTACTGGATCAAAGTAAAATTAGAACAAGATTTAAACCACTCAAACTCCTCTTTTCATTTAAATAATCAAGCTACCTCAACTGTACCTCAGGGGATGGTTTCAGAACCAAACTAAATCTTACTGTTTAAAGTTTCTGTGCAGTACACAGCCTTTAATTGAATGCCATGAAAAACATGCTCTGAAGGGGCTCTTAATAACCTTGACCCTGCCGTGGGGATTTAAACTACAGTCCTCTGAATGATGTGACATTTTATTAACTTGACGTGATGCCTGTGTGTCTGCTCCAGCAGACTCTATCTCCCCCCCCCCCGTCTCTCTTTCTCTCTCTTTAATGTCCACTCGCTAACATATCGCCATGGTTACTGTTCAGCGTAGACAATTTATTGAAGCAATATATAACTTTAATCTCTCCGCTTATGTCATAAACACAATAACTAAGGCGGGAGACTTTCCTTTGAACTTGTGTGTCAGAGCTGTGAAACGAGTCTGGAGATGAATTCCCTTCTAGATAGTTAGTCTCAATGCAGAGAGCGTCCGTGCTTTGACCTCAGTGTGAGATCGTAAATCATAATAACGGTCTTTTCTTCTCTGACTCTCTTCCTTCTATCTTCTCTGCCTCTTCTCTATTCTTCTTCTCAACTCTACCGCCCTGCATCACCTCCTCCCCCCCCCCCCCCCCCCCTCCTCTTTTTCTCTTTCTCCACTCCGCCTTCTTGCAGAAATTTCCCGACGAGGGTCTGGCCAACGTGGTGCGGAACGTCTTCGACTTCGACTCCTACAACAAAGACACGCGGGAGGTTCTGATTGAAGCGCTGCACAAACACGGGATTCCCATCGGAGCCAAGCCCACGTCTGTCAACCTGGCTAAGGAGTAAGAACTCTGGAGCACACGGCGATGAAACGTACTCACACAGTACCATTACATCCAGACACATTATCATGCAGTCACAGAGAGGAGGTCACTGAAGCCTCACCACTGGGACACCGCTGTTAGCAAAAAGCTCAACTAGATTATTTTCAGGATAAATCTGGATGGACCAAAAAGCTTTGTCAGTGATGAATCCACCGTCGTATAGAACGGCTTCTACTGACAGTGACAGTCGCTACATCCACACTTTGATGTTTTTGGGGCTTTTTATTCCTTTATTTTAGAGATAGGACCATCGATTTTACAACAACAAATCTAACTAGAATTTTTTTCAGTTATTTTTTAATATTTATCCTCCAGTCAAACTAACTCGCTATTACATGCAGTCATCATCATCGTTATGAGATATTTATATCGCTGCAGGAGCTGAATATAATTTTAACAGACAACAGAAAGATGAGTTATAATATTCAAATCATTTAGGGCCCGTTTTTTCTGAGCTGGCTGTGCGCTCGAGATCACTTGCATGAAGCGTTTGTGCTCTCTGAAGAAAAGCGTTGCACGTCCATCCTGTCTCTATGGCAACAGTCTGTTGACAACGGCTGCTGTGCAACAGACGCTGCTACGTTACTTTTTACTGCATGTTTTTTTAATTTTAGATCTTTTTTTTTTTTTACCAGATCAGATAGGACAAAGAGGCGGAAAAACTACGGGGAATATCATACATTTGTAAAAGAGCACTGGTGACGTCAACAGCACCTTTCTGAAAAGTTGGACGATTGTCAACCTGAGCTCTCTGAGCAGGCACACAATAAAGGCAGAGCACTCGTAAAAAAAAACGCTTCTGCGTTGCAATCGCTCTCTCCTCATTGATCAAGAATTGAAAAAAGATGATGGCGCTCAGAAAAAAACACTAGTCGGACACGGGGCCTTAATTTGATTTGGCAAGAACTGATTTGTCGCATGTAATTTGTCCTATTTTAGGACAAACTTTAAGATGAATCGAACAAGAATTATTATCATTATATAAGAACTTCAACCCAAGAAAGCATCCAAACATTTGCTCTCAAACAGGTTCCTCTAGGGGCGCCTAGAGGTTAGTGAGCCCGCCCCATGTATGGAGGCTGTAATCCTCAAGGCAGGCAGCCCGGGTTTGAATCCGACCTGTGGCTCCTTTCCCGCTTGTCATTTCCCGCTCGCTCTCTCTCTCCGGCTCTGATTCATATCTCTACGATAAAGGCATAAAAAGCCTGCCAAAAAAAAGGTTCATCTAAAATAATCAATCTCCAGCAGAAGAACCCGGTGGTTTCAGTGCAAGCTCTCACATTCATGCAGCGAGCTTCTGATAGACGTCTTTGTCCAATTTAGAGTATTTGTTACTTCTTGAAGTGAAATCCTGACATGCTTGAAGTCAGCTGATTATGTCTTTAGCCTCTTGACGGGTGTTCAGACTGAATTCTGAGGCTTCCATGAAGTCTCCTCATTATTCCTGAAGTGTGCAGATCATTCATTACCTCACGTCTCCTTTAAAGGAAAGATACAAATCTAATATATCCACCACATTGTCTCATGATGTACAGCTTTGTCTTTTAAATAAAGGAAAATATTTGTTTCTTCTGTCTCCTGTTGTTTTATTTTGACTTAAAACATTCAAACATTCAATTTCATGAATCTTGAGAGCAGAGCAGAAACAAGTATTTTCCTTTAAGAATAAGTAACTGATTGTAAAGATGATTTTTTTCCATCATGTCTGAATGACATCAAGACGAGCACTGACGGTCTTTTCAAAGCTCACATATTCTCCTCCTCTTCAACCAGTGTAAATAAGTCTCAGAGCTCCTCAAAACATGTGTGTGAAGTTTCTTGTTCTAAATCCACTCTGATCCTGTATTTGATCATGCCTATAAACCCCTCTATTTCAGCCCTGCTAAGAACAGGCTGTTTCTGTGTCTGTACCTTTAAATGTAAATGAGCTGTCTGACCACGCCCCCTCTCTGGAAAGGCTTGAGTGTCTCGGGCTTTCTTCCATGTCCTATTGTTTACGGTGAGAAGGCAGACTCAGAGGGCAGAGCAACACCTAGTTGCCTGTTTGAGCACACATTTTCTGAAAAGTGGAGCAGGCACAAGACAGAGAGGATGGACTTTTCTCATCATTGGGGGTTTTGTAGACAGACTAGAGACACATATTAGTGTTAGAGGAACATGGTGAGGTAGATTTGAAAGAATATGTGACCTTTAAATCTTTTGAGGTCTCTGTTTCAGTGCCTTAAGCTCATCATGAGAGGTTTTTACCCCACAACAAACGCTGTATATAAAAGCAAATATTTGCAGCTTGATCCTCAATTTTGGACGTGCAAAACAAGAAACCGCTCCTCTTGTGTTTCTCTTTGATTTTCTATTCTTAGACATATTTATGGTTAGAGCGCAGTTCCTCCTCGCACCCCATTTATCCACTTAAAATCTCTGCGTTTTGTTGTTCTGCATATTTCATCCCACCTGCAGCCAATAAGAGTGTGGCCACAATCCAGTTCTGAATCACTCTTCATACGGAGGAGCAGTAAACATCTGGCCAGACACAACAAGCTGAGCACAGACTCACACAGAGGAACTTTTCCAATATAATTTAACTTCTCTAGAGAATGTGGGAACTTAAGATCTCCCAACAAGATGATTTCATTTTAGCTTCTGAAGCAGAACTGTGACTGTAAAATTCAATGATTTTGAAAATAGTAAATTTAAAAGCACAAAGATGAGTGCCAAGTTGGCCTTTTAAAAACACTGCTTAAAAAAACAATCTTAAACATAGGTAGCTCAGCTGTCATAATTTGACTTCTAACCCTCAGGTTGCCGCTGCCAGAGGCCAGGATGACCGGGTACTGGACGATAAACCAAGGTGTCAACGCTCGCCGCAAACTGCTCTGTCCCACTGAGACGCACATCATAGACATCAAGGTAAACACACAAGAAGACGCACACTTAGGGAGACAGAGGTTAGATTAAGTTAGCACGTACACAGTAGCTTGTATTCTAAACTCCGTATGGGTTAAAAAGCAGGGCTCATGACTAAGGACGTCCCACCGTCTTGGGGAGGAGGCAAAATGTGCATTGGACAAACAAACATTTCTACACGGACTGTTTGCATGTTGAAAAAATACATTTATGTATACATAAAACTATTGCTTAGATTATGAAGGTAACCCAGCACTCATTACAACAGCCGATCCTCTCATGCTATTACTGTAAATAACTTGAAGTCTGACGGTTGCTATGGGTTGTTATGGGCTGCTATGGGCTCTGATTCTCATGTTAAGAAAAGCTATATTATATGATATGTAGTTACTGAATTAAAGAGAGGAACCGATGAAAAGAACAGTCAGGATTCACACATAATGGTTGCATGATTATACAGCAAGATTATCATGTCACGAATTTTAAACTGTTAAAGCAGCGAATCAGCAGCCTTTCAAGCTCAGACTGGAATGACAGAGAAGCTACTCTCTGAGGAATAGTCTTATAATCTTTTTTTTTTTTTTTAGCAGTTTCTTGTTAAGTTTCAAATCGGCATGAACGTCATTTTCTGCAAATAACGCAGATGCAGAAAACCTGAAAAAACAAACAAGCAACCCTGTTTTCTGATTTCCACTGTGTCACTTACCATAAACAACGACCCCGCACATTTCTGCATACTGCTAACAGAGCGTCTTGTGTCTGCAGGGCCCCGTGTTTCTGCGTGTGCAGAGTTATCCCTGTAACAGGCAGGAGAGCCGAGCGCTGAGCTTCAGCGAGGAGAAAGCTCACTGGCAGATTCCCATGAATGAAGTCAACATCATCTGTGATGTCACCACCAAAGACGGTACTCGCTCACACAAACACTATCACTCAGTCGGTATAGACACATTTAACTGACTTTACAGCCTCTGTGTTTTTGATCCGCAGACGTGATGTTCGTGGCCACGTGTAACCCTGTGTCCCTGTTCTCCATGAAGGAGCGCGGCGAGACGATTCGGTGCATGGAGCTCTACGACGTCTTCCCGAGGACCATCAGCGGCGTCTGGCAGCCGTTTGTCACCGTAGCTCCTCTCGGGAGTCCTCTGGATGGACAGGTGGTGCTGCACGAGGAGCAGGTGGGCAAACGCACTCACCCCTAAGTTCACTTTTACCTGACGATAGATCAACAGGCAAACTGACCATCATAACAAAAAACTATGAAATATTGAGCGCTCGTACCTGAAAGGTAGTTTGTACTGATATTTGGATATTCAAAACAAGAAATCAAGTCAGATCAGGGGGGTTCATATTCTGAATTCGTCCCCCCTATTACGCCTCCAAGACATTCAGATTGAAGGTGAAACGGCACTCTGAATAAGTCTGTAGACCGTAAGGTGCCAATGGGAAATTAAAGAGAATCAAACAAGATCCACACACCAAGAAGCTCCCGTTTGAAGGGAGACATTTCGAGCCACCATGCTCTTCCTCTGTGAGTTCTCCTGGATAGTCTGAGGAAGAGCATGTTGTCTCGAAATGTCACTTCATCGTCAATAAATCCTTCAAACCGGAGCTTCTTGGTGTTTGCTTCACACACGGCTGTTTCAGCGATGCTGTGATAAGGTCACAGTGTCTAGGAATAGGCACCAAAAAGATCTTGATTTGGGCCAAATAGTATGTCAGCTTTGTGGTCACATGCCAACTCGTGCACTGTTATTTCCTGCAAAACCTAAACTCATCCAGATTAAACTACCTGGTTGTCACAGAGCTCCACCTTTAAGACATTTGAGAGAACTGGAGATAAAACAAGTATCTCACATCTCACAGTAAAAGTAACTACATAGACGATACCTGGGTGGGCCGCCCAAGTATAGGTCTGACCTGTTTTTTATACAATTTTTTATTTATTCATAAAATTGCTGTGTGCATGGGAGAGAGAGAGAGCGCACGAGGAGCTCACAGCTCCCTGCAACCTAACGAAACTCCTGTTAAAAAAAAAACTTCCCTCTCGACTCCTGTGGAGAGATAAAACAGCAAAACCAAGAGAGCAGAATCACATCAGCTTCAGAGAAAGAGAGAGAGGGAGAGAGAAGGTCCACTGTCTGCACATCCCTCTTGTAAATGCACCGTTTGAGGCGCAAGGCGTAGTCGTGGCGTTTGTGTGTGGATAAATTGAGCAGATTAAAGTTGTTTGTTGCAAAAACTAAATAAATTAAGAGGGAAAAAGACATTTAATATAAATACAAACCTTATATTAAAATATACCCTAACATAAGAGCAAAAAAAAAAAAAGTATATCGATCCCTGCACCCTGGTATCACTCCACTGCCCAGGTATTCTCATTCTGGGGGAAACACTGAACTAACACTAAATATGGTCGAGGCAAAAGGCTAATTTTGAGATGGGCATTGTTACTTTTTCTCATAGGAGAACACAAAGGTAACGTATTTGGGAAAGCTTTAATAAATCAGTGTGGAAATGATCTGTGAATTTAAAGTGGTCTTCTTTACTACAACCCAACCTGACCCTGACAGACCGTCTGTGCTCATAAAGAAATCCTCTCTTCTCGTCTCACGTCCTTGTTTACTCACACGTACCATGACACTTATGTAACTCTGGTATTTCAACTTTCTTTCAGAGGACGACCACAGATTCCTCACTGATTTAAAATAGCCGCTCACAGGACCGCTATAGTTTCTGTAAACGCTCGGCGGTTAGCGGTTGTTTGCTGTTGAACCTCCCTCACCCCATAAGACCCCGATCTGTGACCAAAGAGCATCAGACGAGAACAACGCATGCTGGCCTTCTCTCCAGCCAGAAAACTCTTGTACAGCTGGAGCGCATTAGGCAAGAGGAGGGTTTTCTAAAAATACCAGCGTGATGGATCGTGTTACGTCTGTCTAAAAATGAAGAGGTCCAGACAACATGGAGTTCGTTCACAGGTCGTCGGCCTTCGAGAGGGAAAGTCAGGGAAACCGTGGTGCTCCAAAAAAAACAGTTTCTACTTTGCACATACAACTGATGCATGCAGAAATAATAATAATAAATAATGCTGTGTTCAGTGAAACAACGCAAACACTCCCTCCAAAGACAGTGTATGTATAGGAACAGGAAATGAGGTTTGCCTTCTCTGAATAGCTCGCCATGACAGTTCATGTGTATGTCAAGAACCAGAGTTCATGAGGAAAACATGAGTGTGTTGCAGGGCGGCCATACCCAGGTCGCTTTCCTCAAGCTCCTTCTCATAAA